ATCGCCGTTTGTATAAATATATAAATGAGTAATGCATTGTTCTTCAACAAATATCTCCCATGGGTTGCCAGAGAAAATCCTTAGTTGCACTAAGGATGTGCATGACAACCATTCTATTCCCGAGTACTGTTTTTAAAAAGAAACAATTCTTTTCTATTTCTGTGCCTTGGAACAGTTTCTGACAAAAAAAATGTGTTTGATAACATGTTCCATTTTTATTCCGAGAATGAGAATTGTGTTAGATAACACAACAAATAATATAATAAGAAATAATTCTCATTAAATATACAAAAATTTCGGATCAACTATTTCCTTTCCATATGGTGTGGTTGTGGTGGTGGCGGCGGCGGCGGCGGTACGATAGTGGTGGTGGCAGTGACGTGGTGAAGATAGTGGTGGTGGTTGTGACGGCAGTGGCTGCGACGATGGCGGTGATAATGGTGGCAGCGACGGTGGTAGCGGTGGGGATGGTGGTGGTGGAGGTGACGACAGTGGCAACGACAATGGTGGTGGGTATGGTGGTTGGTGGCGGCAACAATGGTAGCAGTCACATGGTGGTGGTGGTTGTGAATGCATCATGGTGGTGGTGGTGGTGGTGGCAGTGGCTACGGTGGTGGTGGTAAGTGACAGTGGTGGTGGCGATGGTGGCGATGGCTTGGTGATGATAGTGGTGGCGTTGGTGTAATGGTGGCGATGGTGGTGGTGGTTGATAGCGGTGATAGTGGTGGTGGCGGTGGCGGCGATGGTAGTTGTGGTGGTGGTGGCATGGTGGTAGTGATGGGTGGAGGTGGTGGTAATGGTGGCGGTGACATCGTGGTGGTGAAGGGTGGTGACGGCGACACTAGTGGTACGATGGCGGCGGCGACGATGGTGGCGACAGTCGTGTCGGGATGATGGTGGTGGTGGTGATGATGGTAGAGGTGGAGAGTGATTGGGAGAGATAAGCGTTTCTCATTTTGAGCCCGGGAACAAAAAAACAAAATTTTTTTGATTCTTTTTTCTGTTCCCCAGCACAAAAATTAAACTGGTTCATCCCGGGAACAAAAAATAAACTGGTTTTACCAAACGAGTTTCCTATCCATTTCTGTTCTCGGGAACAGAAATTAAAAAAGAATTGATTCCGAGAAGGTTGTCATGCGCACCCTAAGAAGTGGGGGATTCCAACTCTTTCAGCAATGTGGTTGATAAATATAATAAGGAAAAAAAATATCTAATGTTACTTGAGACAATTTTGTTTAATGTTTACCGAAACAACGTTATTTTAGGGTTGAAAAATAAAAAAATAAAAATGATAAAGATTATTATAACTCTGAAATAAATTAAAATTATAAATAATCATAATTTTCTTTCCAAAATAACATCATTTCGATCAACATTGAATAAAATTTTCTAAAGTATCATCAGAAAAATGAATTCATATAATAATCACATCCACAAATAAGAATGAGTGATTTTTCAACGACAGCATCCGCATTATATTGTAGCCGTGTATGTAGAGAGATATAGAGTATTGTGAGAATATTGGCAAGGGTTTTCGTTTTATCCTTTAATATAACACAACAAACTTTCCTACACTCACAATATTTTGTGGGACCCACACTTTTTAAAACAAAAAAATAAGTAAAAAATTAAGGTATGCAAAACGAATCTCTATAACATTACACAATTACTTTTCCTACAACATAACTCTTATAAAACCGGCAAAACCAAAAATAATGAAATATTGTACAGACTACCAATTGGCACACAGTGGGATATCATATCATCCACCTAATGTTAGGTGATACGTATAATATACACATTGATGGCCATGAATATGGCCGTAGGAGACAGGTCGATATGTTACAGCACCCAACACGCCCAGATGGAGCATCTTTTATTAAAATTAAAAGGCTTGAGCATGAGCTCCAAGATTTTTATAAAGATTCTGTGTAATACAGCTTTCTTTAAAATATTTACTTGCTTCCTTAAGATTTGGTTCAATGCATAATGAGGATTTTCAAATCTCCTTGACCAGCGCATGTAATAAGCAATTCACACACAAGAAGAAAAATAAGCCCAAGTGGGGTGTACGTGGATTTGCACGGGAATGCGAATATTTTTTTTAACATTTAATATTATTATAACAACAAAAAATATCATGGTCCTAATTACAAGGAAGATCTTATCCCATTTTGTCAAAATTCTTCAACTTTAATATCCCTTGCCTTACCAATTGTAGAAGAATATTGGTCACTTAAAGCAATTTACTCATTTGACAATGTTTCCTCTCGACCCAGAAAAATTGTTTATTTATTTCTCTTTCCATTGCCTGAATTTCCCCATACATTTGACACTGTTACGGGGAAAAGGTAAAGATTCCAGATAAAGTCATGGCCATAAAGCAATTAATATGTTACTATATCTTGAGCTATTGTTATATGGCAATTAGTTCATTTACATTCTTAATCCCTTGACCCCTGGTTTTTGGGGAAAAAAATAAAACTAACAACTTTGCTTCACATGTCATAAGCTGTTATTGACTGGTTTGGTATTATTGTTTGTTAATCCTTCACGTTAGTCGCAGGATAGTTATTAGTGAACTTAGGAAGTATATGGTAGGAGGATTATTTTTAAATGCATGAGAAAATGAGGATGAGTTTCTTAAAATCTCATATTTAGTAGCACATGATTTTATTTTGTGTATATTTTCTACACTAAAATATCACCGAAAAATATGGATTAATTTTACTTTGGATGGTATTTCAAGAATTCAAACGATGGAAAAATATGGATTAATTTTTCAGACAAAAATAACCAAATATAATATCAGGAAAATTAACCAACATTTACAAAAATATTTTAGCCTACCAAATAACTTTTTGATAATATTCTCAAAAAATTTACAAAATTTACTTTCTCATCATATTCTTTGGAATCGTGATTCTTAGATAAAAAAAAAAATTTCTCTACCAAATGATCCCTCAATGTTACTAGTAGGATATCAATATAAGTTTGTCTAGATGTGCTAATTTTATTAATTGCATCTACACGGTAAAAATACTCAAAATTTGAGGTTCATTATTATATATAGTAAGAAATATCTATTAGTCAAACAAATTCCGTAAATATTTCCAAGCAAGCAAAAAATGACATGTATGCCTTATGAATATTAATTGAGGAATTAAATATACACCATTTAATGAGAAATGTTATACTTGTAGCTGTTTTTTTCTTATAATCTCTTATAACCCAATCTTAATCGTTGATTTTCATTAATTTAACAGTTATAATTTATTATAATTTAATAATTATAACCCAATAAATAATAACCATTAGATCGACGTTAATTAACAGTTAAAATTGAGTTGTAAAATGATGTAAGTGAAAAAAAGTTTGTAATCCCTTCCATTTAATATCTTAAATTTAAAAATATATACCATTTTTTTAAATTATAAAACAAACTATTCCTTGTATAAAATTATTAATAAAAGATATTAAATACTTTTTTTTTTTGAGGTTTAAATACTTTTTTTTAGTACAAATTAACTACACTACTATATTTTACAAATCATTTATGGAAAAGACAAACATTTTACAAATCATTTATGGAAAAGGAAAAAATGTTTGTCTTCATAAATGACACAATTTATGTCATTTCACTCTCACAAAGAGGTAGGACCTACACATTTTTATATTTTTTTGTCATCTTTCTCTTTCTTTATCTATCTCTTTCTCTCACTTAAAATGATACAACTTTACGTCCTTTAAAAAGATACACACTTTTTCCTTTCCCATCGTTTATTTTAGTAAACAGATCTTACATCTCATATACCCTTAGAATTCATTTGTTGCAGGTGGCATGCCATTTGCCAACTTACCAGCAATTTTGAGGTATAGTCGTTTTCTGTTATTAACAACTCAATAAATGTGGAAAGAAAATAATTAACAACTATTAGGAATTACAACTAATCACACCGAACAATATATATATGGCCATAGGCCCATAGCCCATATGGGTTGGTACATATATAAAGTCTAAAAATAATGTAATATTCCTGAAATTTCTAAAATTTAATAACAACATAATAGTTTTTGAGTAAAACTATAATCCTTCAACATGTTTTTTTTTATATTTTTGAAAAAAGAGTTTTTTATTGCATAACCATTGACATTATGTGTGAATTATTATTTATATAGAAAAGAAAAAAAGATAAGATCGCATCCAAACCAATTGAGGTGGAACGCACGCGCGAGACGAATCCGGGTCATGGATACGCTTCAACGCTGTCTTGTAAGAGCAAGATAAGCAAAAGATATCACCTTTTCCTCTGAATTATCATTTCAGAAACTTTACATATAATATTGAAAAAAATATTTTTCTTTTTAAAGAATATAATTTTTATTATTTGAAATAAAATAATTGTATTTAATAAATTTTTATCTTCTATACTATATAAAATAAAAAAGGGAGAAAAAAATATTATAAAATAAAAAATAAAATAAAAATCTATAAAAACATAATAATTTTATTTAAAATGACACAATATTATATATTTTAAAGTTTTAATGTTTTTATATTATAAGAAATAAATTTTATCTTTTATATATACATAAAAGTATGTAGAATTCATATATTTTTTTTCTCTATTCTCTTTACATGAACCCATATACAAATTTATGTATATATAAGAAATAAAATTTACCTCAATAAATACTATTTTAATATTTTATATTTATTTGTATGATCATGATTCTCCAAATTTAATACTTTATATTTATTTTCACCTTTGTATGGTTATGATTTTTCATATTTAATGTTTTCACTTTAGATATGGAGAATCATGACCATACAAAGATAGAAATAAATATAACCGTTAGATCAACATAATCGATCTAACATAACTTGATTGTCACAATATCCTTCTCCTTTTTCTCAATATTAAAATAGCTTAAAAGATAATTATAAAAACAAGAAAATAAAGAAGGAGATGAGAAAAAAATCCAAGAGAGAGAAAGAACGAAAATGTTAGTTGTACTTGTACCAGTACTAGTAGTCTATGAACAGCGACGGTGAGTGCAATCCATCCAGAATTCAGATTAGAGGTCACAAAATCTCAAATCAAACAAACTCGTTCAAGGTCTTGTTCTTTCTTCATTCTCTGATCAGTTCTTTTTCTTTTGCTTCTCGAACTGCTGTCAATCGGTTTGCCTCTGTGAACTCCTGCTAGTGAGTATACTGATCTCTTTTTTTTCTTTTTTCGATTCATTTTAATATTCCTATTTTCATTGATTAATGATTCTGCATTCTGCTTCATCTTGATTCTTGTTTCGTTATCATTTCCAACCAGAACTGGCATCACCACTCACATTTTCCTTGTTTTTTCGTTTTAACTTGTTATCATCTTTATGATTGTAATTCCAGATTCTTAAAACCCGTGGATTTGTTCATAAATTACTTTGTTGAATAAAAATATCACTACGCCAATTTCTTCTTTTTAAGTCATCGCCCCATGTTTGAATTGATAAATATTCTTCTCATCATCATCATAATTTTTTTTTTTTTTTTTTTTGTGTGTTTTTCGTTTGTTCATATGCTGTTTGCACTTTACATTGTTTACTTGTCATCTCATGTAACCCTCCTCAGATGTCAAAACTTTACTTGTCGTTCTATGTAATACTGCTTCTATGTAGTTGAACTTTCATTACACTTTTTCAATTTTAATATTTCATTTTCTATTGCAAACAAATAGTTTCTCCATATATGTTGCTTGTCTTTCGATCACTCTCTATTTAATGCCAGTTTTCTGGAATCCTGTCGGTGAAGGAAATTTAAAAGTAAGATTAGATGGCTCTTCTGTGGCTCGAGTCTTCTTCCTAGTTTCAGACTTGAAAAAGATTGGAATGCAGCATTACAAAAGCTCTTAGTCACATTTCTCTTCATTTCAGTGTCTCTGATCTCTTGTTCATTTTATCTTTGAACATGTTGCTTTAGTTAACATATCTGCGGCACTGTGGTGCAAGCAATATTTTGAAAACTCTATTGGACCAGCCAGTTGGTATTGTCACATGTGACACGGTGGTCACATGTGAGATTCATACAGTCAGTCTCTTGCAACTGCAGGGTTAGGCTTCCTATTATAGATCCACACAACTGGTCTAACCCTACGCTGGACCTTGCGCATAACAGGAGTTTTATTAGCACCAGGCTGCCCTTTTTATTGAACCAGCCGGTTCAACTAGTTAGACTGTGAACCAGCTATGTTTCTGGTTCAATTTTCCCTTAATTATATTTTCTGTTCATTAAGGAAAAAGACGAGAAGTTGCCTTAGTAAGGAAAAGACATTAACGTTAGAAACAGAAAACAATAAAATATTTTATTATTTTTCATTGATATTCCATCTATATTAATTACTCAAGCATGACATTCACAGTAATAATGAAAGATTATGATATTCAATTTACAAAGTCCTACATTGTATTGAATCATGACCCAAAGGTCTCACCAGTTTAATCTATTGGTTTGGTTTTTCAAACATTGGACGAAGTGAAATTAATGCTTCTTTTTTTTTGCCATGGTTATAACATGGAATATACATTTGGTATTTATTTGTTTGTTTCTTATAAAAAATTAGGTATATTTGTTTGCTTCTTGTATTACTTTTCTCTGTTTATGCAACATTTGGAATTATGTGGCACATTATCAATGACATCCATATTTGTCTTGTGATATAAGTTTTCTTTTATTTCCCTGCTTTAAGAAATCAAAGTTAATGCTTACTTGTTTAAATTCAGATAGGAATGGGAATATATCTCAGCACACCCAAAACTGAGAAGTTTTCTGAAGATGGTGAAAATGGCCATCTTAGATATGGTTTGTCATCCATGCAAGGGTGGCGTGCAACAATGGAAGATGCAGTGAGTAATCATTGAAACACTTTTTATTTGTCTAAATTGAATACATTGCATATAAATCCCGAATTCTATAAAGTGAATAACCGTGTTTTACAATGTGGCAATGTCTTGTAAAAAGTACAGGGTTGGCAAGGGTATGCTTTGCTGTATCTGCCAATACAGATTTTGAATTCTGTTTTTCACTTAGACTGCTCCCCTTTATTTGACTAGTTCATTATTATGATGCTGATTTTTATTCTCTTTTCTTTTGTTAGCATGCTGCATATACTGATCTGGATAAGTCCACTTCGTTTTTTGGTGTTTTTGATGGTCATGGAGGTAAGATTTGAAAAAGTTTAGCTACTTGGATTATGGAAGAATGCCATTTTTTACTACTTTATTACGAATTACAAATGTCTTCTGTCCATGTCATGATGATTTGTTTTACCTTTTCTATTTCATCTTTCTCTTTTGGATAATATATCCTCCTCCTAATCCTGCCTCGTCTGCCTAATAAGATATGGAAGACTAGGATATGATATCTTCTAAAACAAAAGTTAAAGAGAGAGGAAAAGAAAAGTAAAGAGAAGCCCTATGCTATAGAACAGTAAAGCCAAAACAGCAATACTCGTCAATCTCTCTGAATATTCACAAGAGACACAAAAAATAATGGTCCGAATTATAACTTTGTATATTCTCTTTTTTATAGTAAATTTTATTATTTTTTCTCCATAAAAAAGTTGTGAAGTTAATCTTTTTGTTGCTTCTAGTTATCACTGATTTCAACATTTGCACCATAATTTAAATCTTGAAGTGATTTCTCAGATGATATTATAACTCAGGGTAACTGTAAGTGGACTAAAACCTGTGACATGTATGAAGACCCTAGTGCATTACCATATTTCATCCATTTATACCAGTGTAACTCATGCCTTGATTCTAGGTTCTCAAGATTAATCCCTACATGCTTCCGTCTGCTCGGTCATCTTCTGACGTGCCACTAAATTGTGTCTATGTTTATGTTGTATTAATTAAATTGTTTGTGTTCCCTCATATCTTTTCAAACAATTAGATGCTGGTTGCATTTTTCAAACTATTTTCCAGTGGAAAAACTGAGGTCCATTTATGCTGATGCTTCTCTACTCCTTAAGCTTTTATGATGGGTTGCCATATATTTGAGTTACAGATCTCAATAATCCCTAACAGGGAAAGGGGAGAATACTACAGAAATTATGTCTAGTTTGTAATCAACACTGTGTTATGGGTGCTCACTTAATCCCAAAATTTCAGGTAAGGTGGTTGCAAAGTTTTGTGCTAAGTTTCTTCACCAACAGGTCCTCAAAAATGAAGCATACGCAGCTGGAGATATAGGAACCGCTCTTCAGAAAGCATTTTTAAGGTTAGATGAAAAAACAGGCCCCTTTCTATTCTTAATCGCAGCTCGTCTGCCTGTATTCCGCAATTAAACGACTAAATCAGTTTCATGCTTGCAAGCAGTTGAGTTTTTATTTTATTTTAAACCTTCCATTTGGACCATCAGCTAAAATCTTTGTTTTGCAGTTCTTATTCTAGATCATGTTTTTTCTTTTAATATACGAAAAAGTGTAGTTGGCAATGTTCTCACGCAAAGTCTCTTAGGTATGTTTCACGCACTCGACTAATTGGAAGAGAATGAAGAAATTATATGTATATTTTTTTAATCACAAGTTGTAGCCCACTTGTTAATTGCTGATTATGGTGTTGCATATTCTTTAATTTATTGCATTTCTCTAAACCTACAAATTACAGAGCAGACATGAAGTATGGCATTATATCTACCCTCTCCAGGTGTAATTGATATAGAAGATAAAGTGACCACTGATTCCTTATCCGTTATTCTCTGTCTCCCTTCCACCCTCAAAATAAAAATCTAAAAAAAAAAAAAAACAGTTATGAACTGGTATTTTCAATATTATGCAGAATGGATGAAATGATGCGTGGTCAAAGGGGATGGAGGGAATTATCAATCTTGGGGGATAAGATAAACAAGTTTACTGGGATGATTGAAGGGTTGATTTGGTCTCCACGAAGCAGTGATGGTAATGACCAAGTTGATGATTGGGCTTTTGAGGAGGTAGGTATGACATTTGAAGAAGGATATCTTAAGTAAAACTCTTCAGTATCATGACTTCATTCGATATACTTGATAATTTGGTGCCTGGCATATGGTTTTAAGTAAAGAAATGTCATGTTCTTGGATAATACTGTTATGTTCCCCAGATGTGCTCGTTTTTTGTGCTCTTCATCTCCCTAAATTGAATTTTTTTATTGCAATTAGGGGCCTCATTCTGATTTTTCCGGACCAACTTCAGGAAGCACTGCCTGTGTTGCAGTTATTAGAAACAACCAACTTGTTGTTGCTAATGCTGGTGATTCACGTTGTGTAATATCTCGGAAGGGTCAGGTAAATTTCTCACGGAAATTCTTGATGTTTATTATGCTTACTGCCCGCATGGATATATATATATATATATATATATATATATATATATATATATATATATCTAACTACTTTACATTGGGAAACAATGCATGCCTCTTAATTTGTCGGGTTAAATTTGTTAGGGGGACTTTCTCTTTTTTTTTTGGAAATATTTTAGGGGGACTTTCTGAAGGTATAGAAAATGGTTTGTTTCTTTCTCTGGTTGACCACATATTTTCAGATTCTATATGCCACAGGTCTTGCGGATAATTACGGACATTGTTTTACTATGGTTCTTTTCTACAGGCATACAATTTGTCTAGAGACCACAAACCTGATCTTGAGATTGAGAAGGAAAGAATCTTAAAAGCTGGTGGTTTTATTCATGCAGGACGAGTTAATGGCAGTCTAAATCTTGCAAGAGCTATTGGTAAAGTACCTATGGGCCTGTGAACTTTCTTAAGGATTAATTTAAGTTTCCTTTTTTTTCCCTTCTCTTTTTTCAATTTTAACTTGAGTGAGCAGCCTTGGCAGCAGGACCCCTTGTATCTTTAGCTCAGGAAGATCCTTGGATTTGTGAACTTGATGAATATGAGCACAAAAATAAACAACTTTCTACATTTTTATTTTGTATGCTTTATTCTGATTCTTTACAAGACGAGAGGATACTGGTTTCAAATTGCATAATTGAAGATTCAAATTTGTATATCTGTCTGTTCTTAACACTAATTCTTTGTGGAGAGATAGATTCCTCTTTTGGGATTTTGAGAAAGAGGGGGGGTGGGGTGTGTGGGGGTGGGGGTGGGATGGTTTGGGAAAGGGTTATAAAGTTTCCATTCTTTAATATGTTTCAATTTACTACAGGTGACATGGAATTCAAACAGAATAAATTTCTTCCTGCTGAAAAACAAATTGTAACTGCCAATCCAGATATAAACACTGTAAGTTTGTTCCTGTAATACAATTCAGCCAACTGCCTCAGTGATACACAGTTCTTGCACAATTTCCATTTTTCTGTATGGTAAAAACCATAATTAAATGCATGGTTAGGGCTTATTGCTACTTTTAAGTATTCATCTGTTATGATTGATGTATTGTTTTTGTTTTGACCTTTTGTTATAGGTTGAGCTTTGTGATGAAGATGAATTTATTGTGATAGCTTGTGATGGCATATGGTATTCTTCTCATGCTTTCATTTTCCCTTTTGATTCTAAATGTTATGATGTATTTGGAAGATATCGGTCATTTAGATCATTAAAATGTAACAACTGATGGGATTTTCATTCTGGGTCACTAGGCAGACTATTATGTATCTCTTCTGTGGTGCGGTCAAAATTTCTTGTTTCATGCTTATAAATGAGTAAATTACACTGATCTCCTTGCAAACACCTCTGGTTTCAGAAACCACACAGAACTGCCCTATTTTCAATTTCCACAGAAGAAAAGCCTTCTGTTTAAATTTTTTCTAGACACATGCAAGTTGAGGTCTTCACATATCTCAGTGTAATGTACTAAAATGTTGTTGACAAGTGTGATTCTGAAAATAGTGATGTTGCTTTAACATGCTCCTTCATACTGCCTTTCTGAAAATAATAATTTATTTCTCCTGATTATTTTCAGGGATTGCATGTCAAGCCAACAAGTGGTAGACTTTGTTCATGAACAATTGCGCTTAGTGAGTTCTAACTTTTTCCTAATAAGATGATAAAGTATTCAATTAATACGTAGCTGTCATACTTATGCTTATTGATGATAATTAATGTAGTAGTACTTGGTACTTTGATGGATAAGAATTGTGCTATTTCTGCTTGTGGTTAGTTGGAGAGAATTAGTAAAGCATGCTGCTGAGTAACATATCATGTTTCTTGCCATGAACAGAGTTACGCTATGTTCTTTGTCACCTAATGCACTTCTCTACTTACATGGTCTTTAACTAAATCACTAGCATATCACTTAATGCACAAGCATTTGTTTGGGTGTGCAAAATTACCAATGAACCGAACCGAATCGTGAACTGATCCGAACTGCTCTAAAAGAATCACATTTTTTCGAACCAGTTTGAGAATTGAATTATTTCCTTTGAACCAATTCAAGAACCAAACCGTTTTTTCAAAACTGGTTTAGTTAACCGAACCACTTTACCAATTCGGTTCGGTTTGGGTTAAAAGTCGAACTGAATTGAACCATTCCTACTCCTAGGAGTGTGAAAAAACCAAATGAACTAAACTGGATCGCGAACCAAACCGAACCGCACTATATTTTTCCGAACTGATTTAAGAACCGAACTATATGGCCAGTGGCCTTTTTAATGGGCTGCAGGTTAGTATTTTATTCAAGTAATGTGTGAATAAGAGACTTGGTGAACGATCAAATAATTATTTTTTTTCTTATTATGGCTGGTCTATAATTATTTTATCTGGCAGGAAACGAAGCTCTCTGCAGTTTGTGAAAGAGTACTTGACCGTTGTTTGGCACCATCAACTGCTAGTGGTGAGGGATGTGATAACATGACCATGATCTTGGTGCAGTTCAAAAAACCTGCTCAGTCCAGTTCACCAGTAGAAGAGCAATCCTCTTCAAACGGGCAAGCTGAATCAGAACCAAAACTGGAGAGAAGTGAAAGTTAATATGTATGCCGCAACAACAGTTCAAATATGTATTATATATATATGTACACCAGTGCTTAGAATGCGTCTGAATGGTCATTTTCCTTTCATTTAACATTGTATACAACAGCCGGTCTGATTGCCATAAAAATATCTCAGTTATTCTCTCTCGTGTCTACTTTTCCCTCCTAAAGTCTGTTCTGCATGCTCAACACGGGGCTCCAAATGTCAGAAATATAACCTGAAATGGATAGGTTATCTTTATTTTTAGAAGTCAATGGTGATATAGCTTTCATGGGGTATGCTGTTAACCAATATAGGACAGCACCCCACGTCTATTTAAGTTATGAGAGGTCATCTTTATCATCCTCGAGGTGCAGTCCACTACCCCTATCCAATTGGCAACATGATCTCTGGCACAAAATTGCGCACTTCCAATTGTTTTGCTAAGTAAATGTGATCTTTATTGGAGGTAAATATGTAAGTATACAAGAAGAGAATAATAAAGCAAGGATAACTTGTTTTTCTTTATAATTTTTTGCGCCAAATTCTGGCATATTTTATTTTCTTTGTAAAGCTGTGCAGGTTTCTGATTATATACAATGGATCATCTATAGTTTCTGTCTTGGATGAAAGAGAATCTAAATCCTAATTGAACCTCAGCAGACAACAACAACATCAAAACTTGGAGGGGAAATAATAAAATTTCTTAGTTTAAACAATATATCTTTTATGACTTTTCCTTTCTTTCTTAAGTACTATTTTTATTAATGTTACGGGTTTTTTTCACCCGATTTTAGTGGTTGGTATTGCCATTTTTTTATTGTGGACTATTTCAGGACCCCTCTTTTTTTTGGTGAGAAAAGATATCCCTTTTTATTCAAATCATTCTTTACTAATTTAGTTCGTTTTCACTTTATCACAAGATTATAATTGTAAATAAACAATTTTTAAATTTTTCAGGTTTCGTTTGAACAAACAAATTGGCTTAATGAACGAGTCTGAGTGTTGCATTAAGCTCATTTAACGTTTGATATCCGCGCATTTTCAGCTATTAGTTATTCATGCAACAATAATTTGAATGCAAAGAGTAGATTCCGCATCAAAATTCATACAACAATATTCTAACATTTATCAAAATGCCACAACCATTAATTCTACTTCTCCAATATATAAAAGAAAAATAACATCGCTCTAGTCACCGTAAGAAAAAAAGCACAATAAAAATAGGGACAACATTTTCTCATATTGCATGAGAATTCAATTGTCATGTTGTGACCCTTCGATTTGCATGCAAAACTTTTCTTTTCTTTTTCTTTTTTTAATTCATGCAACATGAGAAAATCAAACCCCACGAAAATAATGACGCTGAAAAGAATAGCACAAACAAAACATCAAAATCCTCGATTTGGCAGTAAACTTATGGAATATATTAGGACTCTAGAAGCTTTTGCATTTTTATACAAATCTTGGTGTAAGGTATGCTTCTGTTTTATACACAGCATTGCTTTAATCTTGGTGTGATAGGATTACACCTCAATTCCCTTTTTTCCAATTTCCCCAGATACACCCCACTCCCACCCCAACCACCACCCCTTCCCCCTTCCCACCACCTCTCTATCCTCAGGGTGTAAAGGTCCCATCTATATAGTAGGGAAGTTCATGCCTGCAATTACAAAAAAAATAAAACTGTGAGAATTTAAGTAATCCCAAACAATTAGTTTGTCTAGGAAACATCATGGGGCAAAAATACTCACAGCCTCACGGACAGAATTTGCCCTTAAAAATCATGGCAAGTACCACGAAGACTGCTTTTACACAAGTAATTTTCACCATTAATCAGCAGGAATTTCCTGGATGAAGTAAATAATTTGCACAAAACCACATGCTGGGGTACATATCTCTCTCCGAAATTGTTTAGGCAACAAGGCAAAGTGTCCCTGAAGAAACAAGACTCAAAAAGTTAATAAAATAAAAATATGTAGTAAAATTATTCTTAGCATTGTAAAACATTAATCATTACTCTTTAGTGCCTTCCTCCTCCCATTAGATAACTCAGTAAAATCAACATTTATTTGGCAGTTGAGCAAATGTTCCCGCATTGGGGCTACACCCCTCAACCATCATCTTCTTGAAGACAGTAAAGGCTCGGTCTTTATTTCCTGATATACTATGACCACGAATGAGAGCATTATAAGTGAAGACATTAGGTTCAAGACCCATAAGTTGCAGCTCCTCATACATCTTTCCAGCAAGGTCCACCATTCCAGCAACCCCAAGATGGAGAATCAATGCATTGTAAGTATAAAGATCAGGAGGAATTCTCCTATTCTTCATTTCGCCAAAAAGAGAAAGAGCTTCCTCCAACCTACCTGATCTTCCAAGCCCATTGATCATAAGGTTGTAAGAAACTGTATCAGGATCAAGGCCAGTTAACTTTAGTTCCTCAAAGTAGCTCACAGCATCATCAACTCTACCAGTCATGCACAGGCATTCTACCAGAATGGTATAAGATTTCAAGTCTGGCCTTATTCCTTCTTTAACCATTCTTTCGAACAAATCACAAGCAGTATCAATTTTACCTGCTTTTCCGAATCCATTGATGAGAATATTGTAAATAGCACAGTTGGGCTCACATTGATAGTCTAACATCTCATCAAAAATCTTCATACCTTCCTCCAATTTTCCAGCCTTTAGAAGACCATCTATAAGAGGCCCGTATGTACAAGGAGTGGGAGAGAAACCACCACTTATGAGTTCATAATATAAATCTAATGCTTTATTTAAGTTATTAGATTTCACAAGGGCGGAGATGATAATATTATGGGTTACAGCATTAGGCTTGCATCCCCTATAAAGCATCTCGTTGTACAGTTGAAGAAGTTCGCTAATCCTTCTAGATTTACCATGAGCATCAAGCAACAAGTTATAAGTGAAACTATCTGGGAAACAACCTGTATTCTTCATCTCCACAAAAAGATCCCAAGCTTTTTCAGTGATATTACATCCAAGAAGCCCATCCATCAAGCAATTATATGATTCAACGGTTGGGTGAATTCCCAAAGTTTTGGTGAATTTGTCAAATAAATTTTGAGCATCAAGGGCCCTTTTCCGCTTACACAGGACTCTAATTAGAGGTAATATTAGAAGGTCATCTTGGCAAATAGAATCGCGTACCAATCTTTCAGCAAATGAAATGGCCTCTTCTATTTCTGCTTCAATTAAAATACATTCCATTAATTCTCCCCAGAATTGTTTGCCTTTCTGTAAACCTGCTTGATGTACAAATTCCATGACAATCTTGACTGCATCCTCTACCCTTCCATACCTTACAACACCAGGAAGGAGGGTGCACAAAGTTACATGATCAGGGGAGAGAAATTTCTTCATCTGATAATAAAACCAGAATGCATAACCAATTCTTCCTTCTCGGTTCAAGCCATAGATGATAGTGTTATAAGTCAGAACATCAGGACTACAGTTCATCATTGTCATTCTACAGAACATCTTCAAGGCCAAATCAACTGCATCATTCTTGCAAAGACAATCCAGGAGAGTGTTAAAAGTTACCTTGTTTGGAGGACATCCAGACTCTGTCATACTCCTAAACAATTTGAGGGCCTCTGGGAGTCTTCCCTCTTTCCCCAAACCAGTAAGTAAAGTGTTGTATGTCACAACCGTAGGAGCTAACTTCAAATCCTTCAATCTTCCAAACATTTTCCATGCCTCATCAACTCGGTCAGCCTTGAAAAGCATGTCAATTAAAGAATTAACTATAATTACATCCGGTTCGCAACCATTGCTTATCATCTCAGCCAAAAGTTTTATGGCTTTGTCTATTTGCCCTGCTTTGCTATAGCACTTCATCATCATATTATAGGTTACTGAATCTGGCGAAAGCCCACAACTATGAAGATCATTGAATATATCTTTTGCTTCTCTGATCCTACCCATTTCTGCAAGACTATATAAAGATGCATTACACGCTACTATACTAGGCACAATGCCTCTCTTTTTCATTTGTTCAAAGGTCTCAAGAGCTTTTCCAGTATCACCAGACTTTCCATAGTAGTCAATGAAAAGAACATATGAATAAGCAGTAGGTTGAACACCTAAAGATTCCATATTGTTGAAAAGTTCTAACGCCTCATCCAATCTTCTCAACTTCAAAAGCCCAGAGATCAATGTGTTGTAAGTATGAAGATTAGGAGAAATTCTTTTTATCCCCATCACATCTAACATAGCAAATGCCTGATCAACATTCCCGGATTTACATAAAGCATCAATGAGTATGGTGTAGGTAACTACATCAGGAGCATAACCATCAGCCTCCATCTCACTCCAGAATCTTTTCACCGTGTCCAAGTCACCACAGTCACTAAACTTGTCCATTAAAGTAATGTATGTTACCCGATCAGGTCTATGACTGCTAGATCTCATCTTGGTATACAATTCCTCGGCCTTATCAAGTTTCCCTGCAGTACAAAGAGCATCAATTAGAACTGTGTAAGTAACAACATCAGGCCCACATCCTTCATCATCCATTTTCTTTAAAATCCCACACGCATCATCGATTCTCCCAGCCCTACCAAGCACCCTGATGCATATGGTATATGTGTAGATATTTGGCCTCAAACCCAAGGTTTTCATCTCTTCAAATAAATCCATAATGGTTCCAGTATCCCTTCTCCTCCCCAATGCTACCATTAATGCTGAGTATGTCTTCATGCTAGGCTTCATCCCTTCCGAGATCATTCTTCTGTAAACCTTCAAAGCCTCTTTACAACAGCCAGGTTGGAGCAGTAAATAAATCAGTCCATTATACGAATATGCATTCAAGATGAACCCAGCTTGCCTCATCTTTCCAAGCGCAAATGGAGCTTGTCGAATACCACCTTTAATCGAAAGAGCCTTGAAAATTGTCAGGTACGTATTCAAATTCCTGTAAATCACTTGCTTTTGCATCAAATCAAAGACAAAAGGCATATCCTCAACCCTCCCGTGAGCCCTCAAGAACTCAAGCATGTAATTGCATGCTTCAGTGGTATGCACAAGATTAGGCAACTGGGCAACCGACTTGAAGTATGCAAGAGCAGAACTTGGATCCGAAATAGACTTCAGAACGCCAAAAACTTCCTCAGAGGACACTCTATTTTTACTCTTGCCATTTCCCACAAACACCTCATGTGCACATCTAGTCCCAAAGGCACCAAGACCCCCTTGTCTTTTTCCATGTTTCTTCCAATATATCAGGGACCCATTTGGCAAAGTCTTCATTTTTACAAAATTGGTTCCTCCTAAGAACCCATGATAGCTTAGGACATAGATATTTGTCTCAGTAAAAGCACAAGAAGATGACACACTGTTATTATTATACATGATTGAAGGGCAGAGCACTAAGACAGCCATAGATATGATAATAATAATAATAAACAAAAAGGAGTGACTAAAATTCAGAAGAACCACACTCTGAACGGTAGATTATAGCAAATTAGAAGAGCTAAACCTGTCTCCGTAATTGGGGTATGCAAAATAGTGATAGTGGAGGAATGGAGGTAGGTGCTGAAGCTTGGGTGGGTAGTGGCTAATCAGAGACAGAGCCTATCTATCCAATCCATCATCAAAATCCTTGCTTTTGCTATTCGTATTCCATAAAAGTTTCGGCTTTGGATATTTTCCCACCAAAATAGCACCAATGTCCCCCTTTTGCCCTTGTCATTGTGAGGTACTGAGCTGAGCACCCATTCAGTTATTTTGACGTTATCAGTGAAGTAACCATTGTTACATCATATATTATTATTTGCGATTAATGTTTTCAAACATACAATTTTATTTATTAGTGTATATATAAAAATACCGAAAATTTTTATCCAGTTGCAGATAAGTTATCTATATTTATTTTTAAAATGACATCGTTTTGAAATTGAAAGATTAAAAAATTATAATTATAAAGACTATAATAATTCTTAAATAAATTAAAATTATAAAAACACCATAATTTCTGTCCAAAACGACGTCGTACTGAACTTACTTATCTACAGTAACTGCAGAAAAAATAAATTCATAAAAATACGTGGAGTTTATATTTTTTTTTGTATAATTAAATGGAGCTTATATATTTTTATATACATAAAAAATAATCTTATAATATAAGATATTAATTTATAACAAAATATTTTTACGAAATAATATTTCTTTTATAAGATGAAGATAACTTTTATCGCTGAGAAAAGTGAAAAAAGAAAAGAAAAAGTTAAATTTCATTTATTTTTACGTGAGCGAAGGAGATAAAATTATATGGATGCTACAAAAAGAACATTAATTCCTATTTCCTATTTATGTATTATTATATATTAATCATTATTTTTTTGGTAATTAGTCCAAAACCCTCTAATAGACCCAGTAATTTGATTTTAGGTTGGAGGCTCTCGAATTTTCAGGAAATGGGTAAGTCAAATTCTATAATACCACTAAGAGGTCGTTTGGTTAAGTTTTTTTTAAAAGTAACTTTTACCACTTCTTTATTTTAAAAGTACTTTTTACAAAAGTTAAAACTATTTATATTTTTATAAAAATATTTAGTTTTTAAAAAAAATATTTGGCTTTTGACTTCTGCTTTTCTGAGAAGTTAAAATTTTTAACTTCTGAAAAAAGTAGGTTTTTGATTTTTTTTGTGACTTCTCCTTTTTTTAAAAGCAGACATCCAAATGAACTAAAAATGAAAAGTGCTTTTTTTCTTGAAAAAAGCAGCTTTTGAAGAAAAAAAAACCCATCCAAACGGGCCCTAAATCAACCACTCTTAAATTGTAATCTTTATTCAATTATGGTTGATGGAGAAATTTAAAACTTTAATTCTAGAGTCGTCCGAATAAAATTACTTTTCGTAAAAAAAAAAATTTACTTAATCATTATGCATAAATATATCTATGATATCATTAAAAATCTACGATAATTACTTCAAAATTCAAACTTTTGTTTTTCAGGTGGATTTAGGTTAGCAATATTCAATTGCGTAAACTCTTTTCATTGAATTATTAGTTTATACGAGGAGGAAGGACTCTGCTGCACCCAACAAGTCTCTGTTATTGTGATATTAATAGAACACAAAAGCCCTAGCTTTTGGGGCACAGTGATAGTGATAGCAGCTAGTACTTGTTCAACCCATTGACAGATAGAGATTGAGAATGGTGAAAGCAAGTGAAAATAAGAGCGGTGCAGTACCTGAACCGGTGATGGATGCAGTGCATAGCACTCTATCCAACCTTCATGAATTGCGAACACACTTTGATGAGTTCTTGTCTCTCTCTGACCCTCAAGTCCTTTCTCAAATGCCCCCTCTTCAACGTGCTCACTCCCTCTTCATCCTCGCCAGAATCACTTCTACCCTCCTCACATGTACGTATTAAAAAGAAGACTACTTTTTTATTTTTATTATTATCTGCTAATTACAATTACAGTCTCAAGTTTGATTCAACGTTAAATTACTCACTTTTTTTGTTTTCATTATTATCTCCAGTGAAGTTGAGGTGTAGTGGGGTTCACCCAGATGATCATCCTGTCAAATCAGAGATTGTGAGTTCATGCTAATTGTGTCTTCTGCCTTTGGAAATTAGCTTACCAGTTCTTATAGTATTTGTTTTTTTTTTTTTTTTTTTTTTTTGTGTATTCACAGGACAGATTAGACTTATACCAAAACAAACTGGGACGTATGCTAGACTTGAGTAAAGGTATTTCTTTCTTTCTTTTCTGAACAATGCGTTTATCCATCAGTTCCATTTGTTGAATGATGGCTATTTAGAATTACATGTTTTCATTAGCATTGTTCTCTGTTTCAATTATCTGCATTTAGAGTTTTATTGAAGTGGTTTTGGTTTTTTTTTTTCCGGTTGTTAAGCTCCACTACGACCATCTACTACCTTGAATTATAAGGCAGCTACACGCTTCATTGAACACTCTCTGCCTGACCTCACTCCGGGTGGGTAATGAATTATTTTATTCCTTTCATGGATCATCTATGTCTCTTCCATTTTGATCTCATATATTCAAACAAGTGGTTATTTCATACAGGGCAAAGGCAAAGTATGAGGAACATAAGTAGAGGGGAGGGACCGAAGATGAATCATCACGAGCGGGCTGGTCAAAAGAGGAAGTTTCAATCTTCTGAAAAACAATCTGTTCAAATTGCTGCCAAGGAGTTTCTGGAGAAAGCAGCCCTGGAGCTTCTTGGTAATAATAATGGCGGTATTAAGGGACCAGTACAAATTGACAATTCAGAGGATGATGGCGATGAACCACTTGTGCCCTAATTTTCCTGAATTCTGGTAGAGTTTCCTATGATGTTCTCATATACTTATGAGTTTAATGTGCCAAAATTTATGTCTTTTGAGATATAGTAACTTCAGTGTGAAAGTGATCTATAATTTAGGGTGTTAAGATTTTTCTCTCTGTCAGCATTATAATAAATTCTGAACCAACAATTCATTTGAGGGGATCTTCGCAAATTCCTCCATGCACCTACTAAATCTATATGTGAACTTACTAGTTAAGGAACCTGTATTGAATTTGATGATTGGAGCAACTAGATATGATAGTATTTTACTACTTTTACAATTTACTATTATTTAAAAGTTGACATTGGGGATTTGTCTTTCTGGATCTCTCTGCTTTTCAACATGTCGCCCATCAATTGAGTGCAAGTTGTCATCAGTAAGCCTTTTTTAAAGAACAAAGAATTAGTAATCTTAAATTTAATTTTGAAAATTTTGCTGCTCAGACTTGAGAGAGTCATTAGATAACTTGTAATACATGTAAACCTTGTTTGAATTTAAATACAGATAGTACACTATTGCAGATGCAACACATATTCAATTTTCATCTCAGTTCTGCTCTACCACTCAAACATGATTATTTGAGTAGAGTTCATTGCGGCACATCAACCCAGCTAACACTCTAGGAGCTTAGGATTTGTAGTCATTGACATTGGAAGAACACGGAGGGCTAGAATATAGCATTGCCGATTAATGCAGAACCTACTATATGTCAATTGTCAAATACTAGTTAATCGGAAGGTTACCAACATTCCACTGGACACAAAAATGTTGAGACTAGAAACTTAAATGCAAACGGAATGTTACTTTTACTTTTTCCTTCAATAATGGTTCTGATTTGTCGCTTAGTAACACGGTAGGAGATGAGTACAATAAATAATGTTAAAATAAAATTCAATTGCCATATGAGTTGTGAGCTGAACTTTTTGGTTATATTTTGTGGCATGGCCGAATTAATGTTGATGTGGATGAAATCATTGACTCAGAAATATAAATGGATAGAATAGTTGAGCTAGACCACTGATCTTTGGGAGGGATTACCTATTAAAAGTCTGAAGAAAATAAAAAAAAGTGTATGGAACTTATTCTTTGGTCTGTCAGTCTGGTTATACAAATCCTAGAGCAATTTTAAGGAGCTGCCTCTACTGGCATGTATATAAGTTCCAGTTTTGAGAGTTAGCCTCTCCAATGTAATGTACTCTTTGTACCATTAAATACAGTTGTTAGGTTAAGATCATGAATTGCGTGAGACTGACTGTTGAATGTAGAGTGGTAGAACTAGGGTAGAAACTGACAATTTTTATTATTTAAAAAAAGATGATATAGCAAAATAACAGACACAAGAAAAGACACTGGCTCATTGAGCTACAAAGGAAAGCCCTTTACAATGAGATCACCCTCACTACCTAGAAGATAGTTTGATAGTTGATTGCCTATTCTCATTACTGAGTCCTCCTCTATTTATAGACTCTTGTTGACTCCTTGGCCCTTGCTACCTCAGATCAACCTCATTTTTCCATAATTACCTCCTGTCGTAATCTGTCATTATTAGGTCAATTTGCTCTTTTTTCCCCTCCTTTCATAACCTATGAATTCCCCCATTTTAGCTTTTATCCTTGTCCTCAAGGCTGATGTCAGGAAAATGTTCCTTTATGGTTGACAATCTTTCCCATGATGTGGAACGGTCCTTAGAACCTGACAGCGAGTTTTCTTTTTCTTTTTTTCTGTTTTTTTTGTTTTTGTTTTTGTTTTTTTTAGTGCAAGGTCAATTCCTTTTGTTTTAATTCCATTCCCTGTTGCTCAGTATCCCCAGCCTCCTCTGTTTCAGCTTCCACCATGAGGAATTCAGGGTCATTACTGACGTCTTCGTCCTCCCCTAACAATAAGACCCTTATTTGATTTTTTGGGCACTGGTGGAGAGGTCCAAAATTTAATTTTCAGCAAAAACAATTGTCCCCTTCTTTTCTATGTAGGATTTCCTGTTATGTCAGCTGCTTAACTCCTTTATCTCTTCGATTGGCCTAATGATTTTGTGTGTTCTGGTCGTGGTTTGAGGTATGGAACCTTTTTCCGTGCATCCTGACTTCGATAGTGCAGCAGTGTGCTGTTGTGGAGCTCGGGTCGATTGTAGGTCCATTCCTCTCCCCCTGACCCGACCCATTATTTTTTGTAAACACAAAGTTCATTTTGTCGTGTTCGCAATTGGTCAATACTCACAATAGCCCAAGCGGCCTCTAAAAGATTCCACAATCTCCTCTTCAACGTCCATTGCATGCTCAATGGTGCGTTTTGCGTCCTCCATATTGTGAATCCTTAGTTTTATGTTTTAATACTCATCTAAGTCCATGCAAGAAATACCCCAGTTTTTCTTCTTCGGGCATTGGAGGAATTTGGGCAGCAACTATCTCAGGTGCTTTTATGAATCTTCAACCGTTTCTTTCTGCCACGGGGATGCCATCTGTTTATAGGCATTTCTTGCTCGCCTCCCAGTCTCCCACAATACTTTTATAAAGAACCAATTCAACCCAAAAGCTTAAGCTGTTGGGTGAGGCTACAGTAATGGTTTTATATATCTCAACACGCCCCCTTACACGAGAGCCCATTGGGCTTGAAGGGTGGACAATGCACAGGCCCACCTACCTGTGCGAAGAAAGAAATTTCACTAGAAAGAAAGTGGGGGGCGGTAAGGATCCAACCCGATACACCGAGGATCTGATACCATGTAAAGAACCAATTCAACCCAAAAGCTTAAGCTGTTGGGTGAGGCTACATTAATGGTTTTATATATCTCAACAACCTCCACAACATCTCTTATATAAACCAATGGGTTGTTTTTGGGTGGAGTCTTCCATGCTGATAAGTGCAAGTGCAGAATTTTGGTTTTGTTTCTCGAATCTCAAAATATTTTTCTTCCCGTGTGATCCAGCCAGCAAGGTCAGTTCCGTTAAAATTGGGCACTTCTACCTTTTCCTTCATTCATTTTCAGTCAGCAGCATCAATACCACTCCTTCCACCAACGCTGGTTGTCTCCTGAGTTTTAGGTTCTTCGGGAGTCTACCGTATTTTCTCTCGATTCCCCTCTGGTTGTGTTGCTGTGTTATTTTCCTGCGATGGCAACAAGTATGGTTCTTATTTCATATATCAAATTCTGCATAGTTTGCTTCTCGTTCCTCCATAACCTTCCTCATCAACTCTGCACTCCTCTTCAAAGACTCCATTCTTGTGTCCATCCCGCATCTGGTTTTGGGCATCTGGCATGTCAGACCAATTTGGTAGAACAAGGATCGGAATTGAGAATTTTTATTATTTAGAAAAAGATGATATAGGAAGATAATACTCACAAAGAAAGACAATAGCTGTCTAGCTCATAGAGCTCTAGGGGCAAGCCTTTTACAATGAGATCACTCTCACTCACTAGATGATAGTCAGATAATTGACTGCGTATTTTTGTTAATGACTTCTCTATTTATGGACTCTTATTGACCACTTGCGTACTCAGATCTGCGTCATTTTGCCATAATTACTTCCTGTCATAATTTGCCGTTATTAAGTCGATTTGCTCTCCAGTAACAGCTCCTTATTTTGGCCTTTCCCCCCTCCTTTCATAAACTATCCATTCCCCCATTTTAGCCTTTGTCCCCTTAACATTTAAATCATCCCTATCAGAGGCACAAAAAAGGTTCCATAAATGGCATATATTTCCAGCCAGTTATTAAATTATAGCCAAATTTGGAAAAACAGTCTCCAGAATTATTGCTACTAGAAATCTCTTTCGCAACATTGGAGATTCTTGCATGATTAAATTAGCATATCTGCTTATGAATGAAGAATGAGTGTTTCCTCTGTTTGTACGTGAAGAGACTTCATCCTCTATCCGCTTTTGAAGTAAATTGGGTAAGTTTTTTCGCATCTAAAATTTTCCCTCCCTCCTGTTGGATTTCGTTGTGCAGAAGACTAAATATAGTCAGTTTCTTGAGGAAAAGAATATTTGAACATTATTGGTTAATTCATTTATATTTTGTGATTGATGCGTAATCTAAATCTTCATTTGCTCTTATGACCTTAAAATGTAATAAACAATATGTGAATTTGTTACTAAGAAAAGGGAAGTTTTTAGAAATTCATCCAATTAGCTGCTTTCTTGGATGATAAATCACAATTCATTAGGAAAAATGAAATTATAAGAGTGATAAGAACCTTGAGATGCACCACTCCAAAAGCTAGCTCAAAGGGTGAGAGTGTCTAATGCCTTATAAATCTCACATTAGTTACCCATACAACCAATGTAGGACTTCAAGTCCCATACCTTGCAAAGGGTCCTAACAAAGAGCAATTAAAATTCTAATTGCATATAGATTCTGATTTCCTAGAAAGTGTACCTGTATAACTTAAACAGTTTCAGAATATCTTTATGTCTTCATTGTAATTCTTAATTCTGGGATGCACGCCTTTGGAGAAAAGCTTGAACTAGTTTATGTGTGCTCCTAATATAATTATATGGGTAAACAAAGCTGCTTTATTGTTTTGAGTTACTTTATTTGTGTTTGGTTGTTTCATATGATGTTTGTATATTTTCCTTGTATGCTCATACATCTGCTCAAATTGATGAATCAGAGTCAAGGCTATGGCTAGGACCTTAGATTCCAATCTTAGCCCGCAGCAAGTCTAGCCTTTACTTGTTTTGTTCATTTAATAAGTAATTGGTTTACCATATAATTTGCAGATTTCCAAGATAAGGATCAACTTACTACACAGGTAAGTCTTGCACTGATATAAGTTCATCCTCCCCCTTCTTATTTAGGATATATTATTTATTCCTTTTATTCTGTCTGCGATTTTTAATATTTTGGAATTTTATTTTCATAGTACGTGTGAACAAAAAATGGAGCTGTGTTCATGAGAGGGAATATCACCAGAGCCTTGTGTTTTCTCCAAGCTTTTTGGGATGGCTTTTATTCATTTCTTGGTGACATAAACTTGAAATACTGTTCATTACCCATTCTAAGTGTCAAGTATTCAAGTTGCAGTGCATTTTTTGTTATCATCTTACCGGTTATGTTTAACTATCCGTTAATTTTGTTGTTTGCAATGTGGCATGTGACTGGGGGAACTATGCTGTGTTAGTTATATTTGTGTTCTGAGCTTGGATTTATAGTTTCTACAATGTATATGGCTTCCTTCTATTTTGGATGCTGATGTCCGGTTCTTGATTTCATTCTGCGTTAAGTTGAATGTGCCAATGATGTTAGCGAAAACGCATCGAAACTTTGATAGAAGAAAGAAACAAATTCATCTTTTCTATCAAACATTTGGAAAATTTACGAGACAACATTAGATCATTATGCTTTTAAGTTCAACTTGATAGAAAAAAGAAACTTCTCACGCATGATTAATCTTTTCTATCAATTTAGAAAAAAGAAATTGCTTTAAATATGGAAGATTTTTAAGTCTTACTCTTGAGTCAAATGATCCCTCCCCTTATATCAGATTGTTTTTAAGCTCGAATAAAATTTATGAGAAAAGTGTGTTTTCAGACTGTTTTGAAGGAGAAAAGTGTGTTTTCAGACTGTTTTGAAGGACAAAATATTATGTTCTTTTAAGTCAAACGGTGTTGTTCACTTTAAAAAAACAAACTTTTTGCTACCCAGTGCTTCCTTTCCTTGCTAGTTCACTATTATTGCTGAAATGCTCTCTACTCAATCAACAAATGCTCTGTAGTTGTCAAATACTGCCCATTATCAAACACTGTTTAATCGGATATTCACCCACTGTCTCATGCTTCTTTATTTTCAGAATTCTTTGTAAATAATCGTTTGCACGAAATAGGCTTCTAATACCATATTTTTTTTCAAAATTGTTTTAATTTTTCTTTCTCAAATTCGCTCTTTCTGGACAAAAGATGTGAAACTTGGAAATAAAATTAATGTAATGAGGGGTTCTAATTCATTTTACTCTGCCTCATCATCTTTATGACGCATAAACTCTGTTCAATTATGAAGGCATTTAGGAAAAAAGGCCAGAACATGAATATAAGAAGGTATCAAACTTTCGCATATAATTTTAGAACAAAAGAATTATATAATCGCCACAAAAAGAATCAAGACCAAAAAAAAAATCACAATAACCTCACTTTGACAGTCTCTTACTATCCAACCTAATAATAGGTAAAGAGATGGGGGTGATTCACATGAGAAAACCCACATACATAGCCAAAACTCCCAAAGCAGTCACAAGGGCACCTTGTAAAGCTGTAGCAGCGCTAGTGGGAGCAACAGCTGGACCTTCAAACTCTGCTGCTGGAGAAGGTGCTGGTGAAGGTGATATTCCAGCGTATCTGTTCCTTGGAGACATAACCACCACAATGATCTTTTGGCCCTTCTCACAATGACCCTTTACTCCACTTATGAAGTAGAATGGCCCAGGACGATCAAGCTTCACCTTAGTGTTCCCATCACTGTACTCTTTAATGGGGTTTGATGTGCTGCAATTACCATACTCTTCCCTGTTTACTTCCAAAACTGAGTCTTTCCCACCCTCATATTTCCACACTGCCAAACATATAAGAAGAAAGGTGTTAGTGCTTGATGGAAATTAAGATTGTAAAAATGGGGTTTAAGTTTTGGAATTGATTAAGATTGGAAAAGTTACCAAGATGATCGCCGACATGGAAACGAGACCTTTCAGCCCATTGATTAAGGGAATCTGCTTCAGAAGATGGAATCTTCCATGCATCTATCTTGCCTCCAACCAATAGTTCCTTAGCTGCAGAGAAGCCAAAGAGGAGGAATAGGAACAAAAGAGAAGCAGAGACAGTTCTTGAAAAACCAGCCATGATTTTCTGATATGACTGAAAAAACGTTGTGTGTGAGTGTTTTACCTTTCTATCACACACACAGAGGTTGTTTGTTTGCACAGAGGGGTGTGTTCGGAGCATTGTATTTATGGTGATGAAGAGGGAAGAAACTAACCGTTGAGACTTCGAAGACAGCACAATGTGTGGGGCCTACTGACTTCTGGGTTCTGTTCTGTGCGGACCCTGTGCCATTGTAACGGATAGAAATAACGGGAAAAATGCCCTGACGATTAATGGACGATGATAATGGAAATTGAAATGCACTCTCTCAGTGTTTATAAAAAAAAAAGAAGGAAAAAAAAAAAATGCACTCTCAGCTCTGACGCTGTCACTGCAAATGCAAACTGCAGAAACGGCCAACTTTGCAAGTTATCATCCAAATTGAAAAGTGGAAAAATTACATTTCGTTCATCTAGAAACACCATTGGTTCGAATATATTATGCTTAGAATTTTATTTAGAAAATTTTATCTAATATTCAATGAAACGACGTGAATTTAAATTTGAAAAATTAAAAAATTAAAATGATATAAATTATTATAATTCTGAAATAAATTAAAATTATAAATACATCATAATTTCCGTCCTAAAACAATATCGTTTCGATGAATATTAGACAAAATTTTATAAAATAAGGTCAGAGAAATGAATCTTACAAATAACTAACCATTCATCGTTAATAATATATAACTTTGTTGATCATTTTACGCGTGTATGTACAAATTATACAAAATCTGATCGTTCATACGCTCTTGATTAAAGTATGACCCATCAAACATAATGTAATTTATAAATAAAAAATTTCTAAATATAATCTTTCTCTTTTTATAAATATTAAACCTGATCAATGTTTATTAGCATACAAACAAATGAAATTTGTTATTAGAAATAATTTAATTTAAAGGGCTGCATACAAGGACTATCATTTGATGCGGAATTGTTTTTTATTATTATTATTATTATTCAATTGCGGTGGTATCAGCAATTACGGAGACAGAGGTTAACCCAGGGGACAAAACTATGCAACTCCTGCTGCCATTATGGCAATCTCAAATTCTCAATCGAGTTTCTAATTACTTGGTACTGCCAAGAAGAGGATGGGACAGGATTTAGATAGGGAAAATGGTAGGGGTCCTCATAACATCACATGTTCACTTTCATTCCAAATATATTCGGGCATTCAAACTCAAGATTGCGAGCTGCTCTAATGTGATGAGATTACATTTCTGTTGACACATACTATTTTAATGATATAAGAACATCTGCCGCAGAAAATGGCTAATTTAACAGAGCAAAACCACCCTAAAACCTGTATTTGACGAGGATCCTACTTCGACGAAGGCAATTAAAATGATACTGAAACAAAAGAATCACTGTCGTCATAATTCAAAATTGTATAAAATAGGTTACATCTGAACATGATAGTACCTGAATTTCAAAATCCTTACATAAACTTTCTTCATCCTTTAAGAAGTATAGCAGACTAACCGAATATATGGATGCTATCACTAATCAATTTTGACTGAGGAGTAGATGAGCCTTGTGAACCAAAAGCATGCATAAAATCCGATAGTACCGGTTACCACAAAAAAGGCATAAGAAGCTATAAGCATGTACCCAAAGTATAATATCGCAGATACCAACTTTGTGATTTCAAGCTTGGTGAAGAAGTAGAATGTTGCATAAAGAAAGAGGTAAAGTGCAGAAGAACCAGCCGTGAGGTATGATCGCCACCACCACAAGTAATCTTCACTGCACAACTGGAAGTAGCAGAGCACAATGGTTATTTCAGCACAAGTGATGATGAGGATGATGAAGACCAAAAAGAGGAATCCAAAGATGTAGTAAAACTGATTCAACCAGATTGAGGTGAGGATGAAGAAAAGCTCAATAAAAACAGCTCCAAATGGGAGTATTCCTCCAATCAGAACTGAGAAGACCGGATTCATGTACCAGGCCTGCTCAGGGATCTGCCTTGGGATTTTGTTTGTCTTCACAGGATTCTCAATAGCAGGCTTCTTGAATCCAACATAGCTACCCAAAAAAACAAGTGGAACTGAGATCCCAAACCATAAAAAGATAAGAGCAAACATTGTACCAAATGGCACAGCTCCAGATGATTTTTGGCCCCAGATGAGAGCATTTAATACAAAGAAAATGGCGGAGACAACTGCAGGGAACACGATTGAAGTTCTGAGGGCAATTTTTTTCCACTCGGATCCTTTGAACATTTTGTACAAGCGAGTTGAGGAATAACCAGCAAAAATTCCCATGAAAACCCAAAGCATGAGCATGACCGTCATTAACCCACCTCGGTTTGAAGGAGAAAGGAACCCAAGGATTGCAAACATCATAGTTACTAGTGCCATGCCAAAGAACTGAACACCAGTTCCAACATAAACACAGAGCAAATCAGAGTTGTTAGGGGGCCTAAATACATCCCCATGCACAAGCTTCCAACCAGTCTCTTCTTGGGCTTCTTCCTGGGTCTCAAGCTCATTGTACTTTGCAATGTCACGGTACAGAGTTCGCAGCATTATCATTGCCAACATGCCCGAAAGGAAGAGAACAATCATTAATGAGTTAACAATTGAGAACCAGTGGATTTGGTCATCATTCATTAGCAAATAGGCATCCCATCTTGAAGCCCACTTCACATCACTCTCCTGAAGGTAGCAGCAAAAGGTAAAAGCAGATAATAAGAAATACAACCCAGAATCATATTTCAACATAACAACAAAAGAAGGAGGATGATAAAGAAGCTGACTCCACTTGGATGGAAGAAGAAAAAGAAAAGTTAATTATGAGTACACAAAATGATAAAAATTCCCATTAATGCAAGAGGATTTTTAATAGTTTATCTATCCCCCTATCCATAAACCAGCTACTCCACTAAAACCATATCCATTACCACTTGGATCATGCATGACAATAAACATTCTGAAGTACAAGGAAATTATACGTGTATCATTTTATCATCTCCATAACCTCACCTGGAATTCAACATCATATGTGAATATAATTTCCTTGTTCTCTTCAACCTCTTGGGGATTGTTGGAGTTGACAACTGTGTGTTTAGCATGAGGGTCACAGGTTGTCAAACGAGTCTTTTTTTCATCCCATTTACCTTCATATTCATGTTTAACACTGCACATCAACATCCAGATTTGAAAAATCACTAATAAATACCACAAAATGATGAACCAATTAAACGAGCAACAGAATGCATGAGACTCCTACAATTGTGGAAGAACATAAACCAGCTAAATGGAATAAACTAATAGAACAATTAGAGCACAAAATTAATGACCTGAGTGGCTTAACCTCAAAGCCCACGATTCTAGCAGATTCAGTTTGTATATCTTTATGATACTTGACAATAAACGCCAAATGGTTGTGAATAAAATATTTCTCCTCCTTGCTCTGTGCATTTAGACAAAGTAAGCAAAGAAACAAACTAATTGGCATTTATAACAATAGCCATGGTGCTATAAAATACACATACCCCGCTATACTGCCCTTTGAGTCCAACATGGAAACCAAGCTGATAAACATTAGAATCCTGATCATTCCGTTTTATGGGAACAACTAGAGGAAGGTTGTCTAGGATCCTGTGCATTAAGGGAAGAGCCATTATAAGATACAACATGTCAAGACTGTGGCAGAATATGATAGATCAAATACTGGTATAACATACATGTTCACCCGATACTCATCATTGATTTTCTCTTTGAACTGCTTAGCAGTTTTAGCATTAAGTTTAAGATTACACACAACATTGCACATTTGTGGCTCGCGCATTTTAAACTGCAAAACATCGTTGAGTCAGAATCAGTTAATAACCATAACAAAATTAAGGGAAATTTCAAAAGTTAGAAAAAATGCTAAAAAAAAAACCAGCTTGGAAACTGCTCGCATAGTTAATTAAGTCAATAAGTGATTACTCGTTAACAACACTGTGAACATGGTTCACCAATTCAGTGGTTAGTTGTTACTAAACTGAAAATATTTCACAAAGAATTCCTTTTTTGTAAATATCCCTAAATTAAACAGTCAAGAGTCAACATGTAAAACTGACCACATATAGAGAATTTTCAATGCGGTCACCACGAAGCACCTCCCCAAGATTTTCTGCACTATCCTGTATTTTTTGGGGGGGACAATAAGGAAGTGAATAATATGAGTATGGAAGCTGAGTCTTTGTTGATGTTAATTTGTTTACTTTTACTTGCAATGGATCTCCCTGCACCAAAGAAATATTAAAAAAGTCAGTTAAGTACTTAAGGAGTAGACCTATAACGAATTTTGAATATTCTTCATTTTGGACAGATTAAGAAAGAAATATCACATTTGCCACAAGTATGACATATTTTTACCACAAAATATCCCGTGGACATGGGGAATACTTTAAAAGAGGCTACAAAAGTAGTCAAATAGATTATTTCATCCTTCATAAAGGCCATTGTAGTTGCTATGAAGATTGTAAATTGATATTATGCAAGAATTCAACCATGCAGGACAATCTGCGGTTTATCTTCGTCGAAATCGGTAAAGCTTTTAAAGCCTCAGTTTATTGTTGCTTCTATGTTCTGCTTGTACAAACTGTGGCTTTTTTGCTTTGATGGGCTTTGCTTGGTAAGAAACACAAGGGGAAAAGGGTATTAGCTGGGAACCTTTGCTCTTGCCTGCAGCTCAGTGTTTAGCTTGGTTTGTTTTGAGCTTTTCATATCCTTTGCATTTAAAAATAATTGAAAAGAGTAGAAGACTAGAGGTGTAGGAATAAGGTGGTAGTATACCAAAAAAAATAAGAAAGCATTAGAAAGATAGAAGATGAAGCCCAAAAATTATTATATTTCTTCTGTAAAGTTTTAATTGTTTACATCAAAAGGCATCACTGCTAAATATTAAAAAATCAACTTCTCGATGCAAAGAAGCGCAATAAAGTGTAATGTAATACAATGCACCTCTGCGATAATATGTCAAGTTACGCACCTTAGTTGCCAGTCCTATTCTCCAACATCGTCTAAAGATACATTGCCAATTTTCACATCAAACAACGCCGACAACTATTTCTAATTACAACTACGGAATTTAAACAGCCATCATATGATTCATTGATGTAAAAAAATATTGCAATAGTGCAGTGTTGGCTAATCCGTAACAGATAAAATGCAAGACAAGTAACTGAAATGGAAATCAAAAAATTAACCTCAGTATCTCAGGAAGCATTAAATACACACAGATATAAATTCGGCGTTACCAAGTGAACGTTCTTCATTGAAGCGAACCACTAAAATTAAAACTAAACATACCATACATTTCCACCTCCTCTTTCAGCTAATTATTTTTTTTAAGAAAATAAAAATAAAACTAGTATCGATCATATCCAATCCAACACAGATCTCACTTCTCGGATTCAAACACAGATCAAGGAATGAACAAATAAGTAATTCACGTGAAGGAAAGGGGGGAAATGGAAGGTTACCTTTTGGAAATCCTGCGGAGCGACGCCAGGTAGGTAGAAACAGTGAGCGGCATGGATGAGAAGCAGAAGAACTGCAGAGAACGCGAGAGATCTCAAAAACGCCATGGCGTTCGAGATCGAGATCTAGAAGCTCTTTTCAAATGCCTCTTGTTGTTGAGTTATAAGGAAATGGGAGAAGAGCGAGGAGGAAGAAGAGAAGCGTAGTCGCGACCAGAAAGAGAGGACTCGGTGCTGATTACCTCCGGTTACAAATTGGTACAGTTACCGTCTTCTGCTTATATATGATCTCGTCTCGTTTGCGCTTCGGTTGAATCTGACCAAACAAGTGTTTTCCTTTTCCTTTTTTTTCTTTTTTTCTCTTTCTACGCGAGGGCATAATCGTAATTAGGAAGGGATTAACCAAACTCCATTTATACGTAAGACTCCCAATTCCAGATCAGATCTGAGAGGTTGCCAAAAAATTAATGAATTCTTAGAGATATAATAGTACACGCGTTAATTATAAGGTTATAGGGGTGTGTCTCCCGAAATTATTTTTTCCATTACTAGTGCTTAAATTTAAAATTTCTGAATGGAATAAATTCCTTACCACTTGAAGTATTGATAAGATATCTTTTTAATACAACTGAGTATGGTTAACATTTTCAATACAACTTGACGCCCGATAAATTGCGAATATTTTTAATACAGTGGCATTTATTTCATGAACTCATCAAACTATATTTTTTTTCTACAACTTTTTGATAAACTTTTGTTAAATGGGCAAATGGTGTTCCTCATGTTCTAATATTGTTATCCAGAAAATAAAACGGGTAATATACATAGCACATAGTGAATGTGCACAAAAAATTAAGCCAGATTGGTTATAATCAAATAAAAAAACTATTCCTTCCATTAAAATAAGTATTCAATGTTTCTCATGTTGATTTATCTCCTATATATATATAAAAAAATATACGAAATTTATATTTTTTTTCTCTTTTCTCCTCACATGACTTCACACACTTTTATATATGTATAGAAGATATATTTATCTCAAACATTATTCCCATAAAATAATAATCAAAACTATATGAATAATGTAATATTTGTGTAAGTATGTGTTTTCTTCTTAAAATTAGCCTTTTAAAGAATAAAACTTTATTTATTTTATTTAGGATTTGGTGTTTATCCTTTTAACGGTACATGTCATAGACGTTAGTAATGATGTTAGAGCCCCACTAACAAAAGGACTACCGTGGGCTTAATTTGTAAAATTTAGGACCATGAATGACTTTTTTTTATAGGGACTAAAACAGACATCGTAAAATTTGATAAAGACCAAAAAGATATTTAATTTTTTTGTTTTAACATGCCCCTTGACACGTTGCTCTTACAAGGTTCTTTTCAGTTTCCTTGCATTTGTCCTTTGTGTGAATTAAACCATTCCCTCTCCCCTGATCACTGGTGACCCATCATTCAAGATTGGGCATCACTTTGACCCGTTGTGTTCGACCTACATTTGACATATATGTTAGCGTCTGCGGATCTCCAACCTTACCCTTGCAAAAATAATATGAATCTCACGATGGCTAATGAAAATTAATAAAAAAAATGTTATAACTTTTTTCTAATATTTATTTTCAAATTGTAATAAATTAACATGGCAGTGTTTCTAACTTGAGAGACAAATTCAATTGAGAATGGGTTCTCTTACGGACACAGATGAGAAAGTCACATGTATAGATATAAATCAACTGATGGAGAACGTGTTAGAAAGAAAAAATGATTAACTCTTGATTTCTATCTAGACGGTTGGTATTCTTCTTATTGACCTCATTTCACGTAAAAGTCCCAACTCACTTTGAAGGTTTTTGCAAAACCGTATATTCCCGAGGAGATTCGTAGCTTCGGTTTGACTTCATCGAAAGTCAATAGGGATAACTTGTATTGTGGTAAACAAGTTTATTAAAGGCAAGTTCTGTTTGTTGTGTCGTGTTCTGTTCCTGTGATTAACTTTTGCTTTTTCTGTTATCTCAGTCATCATAGGCTAATTATGAGACGCATTATGATGATTGCTCTCTACGTGTTATTGGTGTTGTTAAGTAATCTTTACCTTTCTGAGTCAACGTCATCCTCTCCCCATTGTAAAGCATGGCTAGTGCAATCAATCCCCACCAATATGCCCCACCTCTCCCGCGTCCCCGGCATCCTATCTTCTGGTATGTAATATATATGTGTGTGTGTGTGTTATGTTACCACTGACTCTCTCTAATTCACTATTATGGGCTCATAATTGGGTTGTAGGGGATGTGCTTCGGTGGATGGCTGAAAACTCAACCCGGAGGCTTGACATAATAGCTCAATACTGGCAGCTGCTAGCTGCTCCCAACGATTCTCGTTCTGGGGATTATGGTTACTCTCAAGATCAGTTGCATGAATTTGGTGCCCATCAAGGTGCTTCCCTTTATCAAGCATTAGATGCTGCTGCTGACCGTAATGTTAGAATCAGGTGCGTTTTAATTTGGCTTACCATGCTCTTGTTTAGTGTGATGTTGATTTTCATCATTAATCAACCAAATTTGAATTGGGTTTGTTGAAGATGGATGGTTATGTTTATAATATACAGACAAGTTAATCTTAACCTATTTTATGTTTCAAATGGAGATTGGTGTAGGTTACTGTCTCACTCTGGAGTCTATCCAGATTTTACCTCAGAACCATCCAAACTCGCTTCTGGAAGGCCAAATGTTGAGAATGTGACCTTGCTACTAGAGGATTGGTGGGGCTCTGGCATTGTTCATGCCAAAGTTTGGATATCCGATAGTAGGGATGTGTATATTGGATCTGCAAACAATGACTGGAAATCTCTTACACAGGTAATTTCATGACAAGTTTTATGTTCACTTTTTTATGTCAATAGGCAACTAGTTTTTCAGAGGCCCTCATAAATCTTGAGTATGAAGCATCAACTCTACTCAAAACATATGCTGTTGGTTGTTACCTTTCTCCATGGATTATTAATGTTAAAATTTAACCCCTTTTTTCGAGGTAAGATTACTTTTTCTAGGATATTTGTTTCTTAATATATCTCTTCTTTTCTTCATTCTAGATATCTGTTATCTTTTCAACCCATGATGTTTGTCTCTTTACTTGCTGGTCCTAGGTCAAGGAAGTCGGAATTTATCTTGCTGGTTGTCCTGGAATAGCTAAAAAGGTTGAGGTCTACTTTAATAATTTATGGACACTCACATCTCTTAATTCTTCAGCTTACACAAAAACAGTCTTAGATCAACAGTGGCAAGTTGAAAGAAAGGTTCCTTGTTGGTCGCATTTCATTAAACCTAGAGAGAGGTGCAAGTAAGTCTGGACGCTGTGACAAAAAATTAGTTTACTTAGTTTCTCTTCAAGAAATTGCTACTTCTTGTGATTTTCTATCTTGATGTATCATTTTCTATAGTTTGTCTTTCAAATTTCCTTACAAAGTTCTTAAGATTTATATTCTTCAAAATTTCCTTCCTTCACTGGAATTTTGCTGTTGTGAGAAGAGAGAATTGTTCCCATAAGTGTACGTTCTTTGTAGTTAGCATAATTTTAACTGTAGGTTTTTATGTGGATGCTAATGGTTGGTTAGGGTTTTAACTATCACTTAAATAAAATGTAGTCTTTAGAAAGATTCCAAACATTAGACAACATGAGAGACAGAATACAATGTAGTGAATGGAGTAGCGAACTTCAAAAGCAAGCACATGGAACATTTTTAAGTTTACATCCTTAAGCAACTGAGAGTGAATTAAAGTAAACTAAGAATGAGGAAAGAACATTCTTGCACTTTTTTAATTTATTACTGTATTTGATTGTGTCGCAGGTCACCTCTTCCTCATTATGTGGAGACTCCTCATGTTGCAGGATACCCAATTCTGTCTGACCCTTACAAGTTTAAAGTTTCAATTCAAACTCCTGGGAATTCAACAAAGCTCCCCCAAGTCAGCTACCTCTCCTTTGCTCCCCCAGAGGTAACGTTTTTTTTTTTAACAATTTGCAGGATAGTACACATCCTTGAATCTAGGCATCAGAAATGGGTTGACTTAACAGCTACATGGCGGCACAAACTTACCATTTTAATAATTTTCTTACTGTGCTACTATCACATGCTTGTTTATTTTGTTATTCATTTCTTCATGCTCGTTTTCCATCTTTCTGTTCTTCCTTTCATTGGATCTTAGTATTATTTGTGGCTGCAGCTATTATTTGGCACTTATCAGGCTGATGAGCAGGCATTGATTGATACAATTAAATCTGTTGGAACAAAGGAGACAGTTAGAATCAGTACCATGGACTGGCTGGGTCAGTCACAATATACGAACCAAACAGTTTACTGGTCATCCATATCCTCTGCAATATCAGAGGTAACTTTCAAGTGTTTGCTTTCTCTGTTTCTTTTCTTGTTTGCTCTCTTTTTTACTTTCTCCTCCCTATACTTGTTATCTTTTCAAGAAGTCATTAACAGAAAAAAGGCATCCCAAATTATATCTTAAGAAGGCAAAGCATCATCAGTGTTCATGAATTCGTACAATTTTGTTTGATACCATTTTGAGTGACATGTGCCATAGTCTATTCTCTTTACATATCACAAACTGGCTGATGGTTCCCCTGGAGTGCAGTTGGGTACTTGGATAGTTGTAGTGGTATATATAAAATGGCCATCACCAAATGCTTATCTTCTGGCACTATTTGTAGTGTCTATTCCTTAAAATTTCAGTGCTATTCGACCAGCTAAGTCTATAGAAGTTCCTGTTTTTCCTTGTATCTTTATCCTTTTAGTTGTTTGTTAAGTTAGGTTTTTCTACAATTGTAATGAGTTTTACACATCAACTTGCTATTTATTATCTAGCGCGACATTTTCTTACAAAATTCAACCAAACAGGTTGTGTTTTCCAAGCAAGCAACAGTAAAGTTATTGGTAGCATATTGGGCACACTCCATCAATAGCACAGACGTGTTCCTTAAGTCACTCCTCTACTCCAACAATCTCTGCTATTCCTCAGTATACAACAAATACTGTGGTAAAGTTGAGATCAAGTACTATGTGGTTCCGGGTTTCAACAAGACAGGACCTGCCATTCAGGGTGGAGCTAGTTCAGGAAACATATACCCTGGTTATACCAGAGTCAATCATGGAAAATATGCAGTTAGCAATGTAAGGGCCCACATTTCAACTAGCAACATTGTATGGGACTACTTCTACACCACAGCAGGTGTCAGCTTTGGGACATACAACACTGCCATCGTCTCTCAACTTAGGGAAATTTTTGATGCAGATTGGAACTCACCCTATGCTGTTCCAGTTGAAGAGCTGGAGAAAGTTTATAAATGTTCAATCTAACTAGTTTATATTTGTACTTTCAAATGGCTGATATCAACCAAAAAGAAGAGGAGGGGCGGGGTAAGAACTGAATAAAGCCAATGTAAGTTGCAATGAAAAGGAGAAAATTAGTTCTCTTTTATTCAGCAAAATTGTTTTTTTCTCCTTTAATCTAGCAGAAACTCGACATAAATGAACAGTTAAAATTAACTGAAATTTTAATAAAAAGAGAATAAATACGTGTGGAAAGTATAACAAAAAAGCTCTTAATCTTTCTTTTTTTTCAGTAAAGAAATGCTCTTAATCTTAGGCTATGATAATATGTAGAATGAAACCTTTACCTGGTATCACATTAGTCTTTCAATGGTTATTAAAATTTTTCACTACTTTATGTTTATTCCCTAAATTTTTCATTTAGTCTTTTAAAATACACCCCATACTTGACACAAAAAACTAAAATAAAAAAATTAAGCAATTATCTTCCTAAATCAATTCACTACTTTATGTCTCAATCAAAGAGATAGCAAATCTTTATTTCAAATCACTTAATACCAATTACCAAACCCTTCAAAGATCACAGAATTCCCTTTTTTCAGCACAATGATGACGGTGCACGTTCTTACAACCAATATGCAAAAAATCCTGCTATTGTCGTTATATTACATTGATTTGCGAAAAAACTGACAGTTCATATTAATTGTGTGGCTATGGCTTAGTAAGGGATTGTTAAACGAAATTTAAGAAACAGTTATCGAATAGAACAAGTTATTCTTTAACCAAAACATAACAAATAAACAATAAATAAATAAAAAATAAAAACTCATTCGTGGCCACCGCAACTCACTTGAAGCTCAACATTAGTTAGTTTTCTGGGAGAAGAGCTTCGTGATAATGAGCATTCCCCTTTAAATAATTAAAAGGGAAAAAGAATTGCAAGGAAATTCAACTCAAGTTAAACTTTGTTCATGTCATTAGATACTCTTAACTATCATTCAAAAAAATATCCAGGAATCAAACTGATATCTAAACTGAGTTGACAAGTTTAGGGGAATGAACCAGAAAGGATGTGAAAGAGTGTTTGTCTAACAAAGTTCAGTATCAAATTTGAGACTTATGCCCATACTAAAAAGCTCCTGGCTCAATAATTTAGCTCCATAAGGGACACTGGCCACCACAATGTCTTCAGCAGATTCACAGAAGCGGCAATAGGGACCTCGTATTTTATGGCCACCAGACACTGGCCGTAAGATCACATTAGCAATATTTTTGCATTTACTACAAATGTGTATCTGAGAGCAGTCACTGAGTGTAAAGAGGCGTTCATACAGGTTGGCTGATGCACCATGAGCTATCAGGCAATCACGCTCCATTTCACCAAACTTGACACCTCCAAAACGCTTCCTGTCTGCCACAGGCTGTCGGGTCAGCGGGTGAACTGGACCGGTGTTCCGGAATTTTACTTTGTCCTCAGACATGTGGACTAGCCGCTGGTAGAATGTAGGGCCCATAAATATGAGTGAACGGACCATTTCACCTGTCCTCCCATTGTATACTCTCTCATTTCCCCCTCTTGAAAACCCAGCTCTGCCATATACACAAAAGGAACATAAGCCGGGCTCAATAAAACAAACAAAACAACAAAACACAGGACAACTTAAAGTGAAAACTAGGAAAAATAACTCCTAAATTTAAAAATATCCCAGAACAAAGGCAAGAGACCATCTAACATACAGTAAGCAAGAGCAGAAGTTGAAATACAAGTTCCTCTAGTAAATGGCACACATAATATACAACATAAGTAATCAAAACTGCATTTTAAGTACACAGATAACATTATCAAACTGTACCTGTGAAGCTGGTTCATAATGTCATCAACAGAGGGAGTGGAGAAAGGGGTAGCATGCCTCAATAAACCGCCACAAGCAATCCCCTTTCCTAAAGCAGCTTCTAGGAGTTGACCGGGAGTTTGTCGTGAGGGAAACGCATGCGGATTTATGACAATATCAGGAACAATTCCTTGTCTTGTGAAGGGAAAATTTTCCTGAGACTCCAGAAATCCTAAAACACCCTTTTGTCCATGCATACTGGAGAACTTGTCTCCAAGAAGTGGACTTCGAACCTGCAATATTAAATAAAAGATTTTCCTAGTGATCATATTCAATTTAACTGTCATAAAAGTTGGCTTTCAGTTTTGCAACATAAAACATCTATGTTCAGATGATGTACAAATAAATATATTTGCATGTCCATCTCCATATGCCTGTATGCAAATACTTGTGCATACAGTAAGTTGTGTTCAATGGAATAACTCCTAAAAGTTCATGCATAAGGCAACATGCATCTTCATTAATGTAGTTTGGGGTTTCACCAGTTACCTGTCTTAACGAAACAACACCAAAATTCTTCCCCTCATCATTTGAAGACAGCACAACTTTTTGAACATAACCCCTTTCGGTGTGTTTTAACTTTATACTATTGTCTGCGCCTGACTCAGCATGCTTCCCAATAATAATATCACCACTTTGCAAATTTGCACCAATATATGGAAAGCCTTCATCATCAAGGCTATCAACTCGGCCAATTCTACTTTGTACTTTTCCAAAATTTACAATGTCTTCAGGTTTCCGCTTCTTCTCCGAAGATTCCTTATTTTCAATTTCAGCTTTGTAACTCCTTATGTGCTCAGATCTGAACATACCGCGCTGCAAAGAAGCAAGGTTCATCACTAGGGAATCCTCTTGATTGTATCCCAGATGTACATTGACAGCTACAATTGCATTCTGCCCATTATAGAATTCGGCCTTTGGAAGCACTCTATTTTGACCTAGTGGATACCCTGGTTTTCCAAGACAATCCGAAGTCATTGTACGAAAAAGGGGCTTTTGGGGATAATATAACTGGTGAGATAAAGTATCAACTCTAATGTCTGGGTTCATTGTAGAAAAGCCCATAGCCTGTGAGGAGTGCTTCTGAGACTGGTAGAGTACCCTCCTTGCATGGTCATGATTGGCAAATGGTACAAGTGAACAGCTTAAACCCAATAAGAATGACATATCAAGTTCACAGTGTGTGTACTTTACAGAAGATTTTCCCTCATTTGCAAATAAATACTGAACACCCCAAGCAGTACAGCAGTCTTCCTCTTCTTCAGGCCCAATCAGCTCAATCACACCATTATCCAATAGGGTCTGGAAAGAGTAATGTTCTGATTTATATCCTTTGATCTTGTGTAGGTTACCAACAACCAAAAGCGGACGTAGAATCCTTCCTGCATCAGAGTATATACGCACTTCTTGTTGACTTTGGTCTCTTTTGATTTCCACCTACAACGGAAAATAGTTATCACTAGGTTCAAAAGAAACAAAATAAACTAAATCAAATAAATATATTGCATATACTACAGCCTTTTGTGCATAAAAAACAGAGAGAATAAGAGAGGGGGGAGGGGGGGGGGGGGGGGGTGTTGTATTTCAAATTAGGGAGACAATAGAAGGCTTACAAATAAAGGTATACTACTCAACAAAGTTACAAAAGAAACCCAGCAGAAGAAAACAATGTCAAAAATTAATAAAAAAATAAAATCATCCCAAACGTGATATGATGGCTATCTATTGATGCAAATATAAAGAGAAAGGATATACCAATCTTTGATACAGAAAAGGGACACATAAATGACGAAGTGTTTCCCAGAGTTAGGGTATCCGGAAAGGGGAAGGCAAGTCCAAACAGTTAATCCAATCATGATAAGCAAGTGAAGCGCATTTACCATATGGTAGTCAGTGGCAATCATAATCCTCATAAAGACATAAACGAAGCTATAGATATTCCCCAATGTAGACCATGTTTCCAAGTGCTTAGTCCACAACTATATTATTTGTTAATTAATGTATCATCTGCTCCGCAGGCTGACATGCCTTCAGCTGTTAAACTTGTCAACCTTTACTACATTTGACACTTCATGTATAAAATGTGTGTGTGTATATACCTAAAACACACACACACCCATATTTACATTCATATGTAGTATACATATGACTAGCACAGCATACAAAATCAACTTAAAATGAGATATTGAAACTGAACCTCATGAGGCAATTCATTTCTACGTCTTTTACTTCTTAGGTCTGCCACAAATGAAAAAGAATCTGCACAAACTCCAACCCAATCCCCATTTAGGAAGACTTTATCCTTGTTGCCGAGATATGTTGAAGTATCATCAAGCAGTTCTTCCATTCCACAATCAAACAACTGAGGCAATATAGACTCGGATATGTTGGTGCTTACTAGTCCTGTGACAGCCAAATTTTTTACTAGCCCACAATTTTCACCATCCGGGGTAGACAGGAAGCAAACCTTGCCCCAGTGAGAAGGATGCCTGCACCGCAAAAATTCCATTATATTAAATTCAAGCAATTTTTTTGGATAAAATAGAGCACTAGTTTCAAGCATACAAAACATCATATTCGAACTTTCAACTTTAGAGAGAACTTAAAAATCCGTTAGAGTATACACATCAATACCTCAAGGAGAGGGCAAGTAAACAGCTAAAGCTACTAGTACAATGCTAGACACCTTACCCACCCCTGTAAAGCATAGGAAGTTGATATTTCACTCGCTACCAATGATGGCCAACAAAGATTTTAAAAGTTTTCAACACATTTCTAACCCAATCAGTTTCATCAGAACTTACTAAATGTACAGATACCTCCTCTCAATCAAGATACTTCACAGAAGCTGATACTGCAGCAGAAATGGGAGAAACTTTGATAGCCACCACAAAACTAAACATCTATAGGGTGACACAGGCAGCACTAGCAAGTATGGCACCAATAAACCATGAGTATGAAGACCAACCATGAGTATGGCACCAATCTAACGCTAATTGCCTCTTAGAAATGTTTTAAATGTTTCCTTTTCTGGTTTGATTAATTACCATTTCTGGTTTCTCTGGTCAACATAATTAGGAATCTGTTTTTATTGTTTTGCTTAATTTTAGGATTGATTTTAGGAACCGTTACTCAGAAGATTGATTCTATGTAAAATCTGCTGCATATATATCGTTGTACAATTTTGACACTATCAATGATAAGGAAAAAGAGAGAATTCTTCCCTCAAACATTCTAATTTTCTTTATTTTGTAATCCCTAGAGTTCTAGTTTTAAGATCTTACTTATAAGATGTCCTCATGGATTTAGCAGCAGTCCAGAGTCTCAAATCAATACAGGATTAGGATTCCATTCACAAATCTTGTTGGAATTGATTATAGGAAACCTAGCTTTTCTAGGCAGACAACATAAATACACACGATCAACCTTCAAAAAACCCAAGCCTTAGCCTATAGAATCCCAATTCCCCCTGCTGTATTGTGTTACTAATACAACTATTGCAATATTACTTTTACTTCAACCATCACCTACATTTTAAACACCCCTAAAAAGTGGTAAGGAGAAGAGAGAAAATATATTTTACAAAAAAGATGCAGAAGTAAATGCAAATAATTCAGCATCACTGTATCTGTTGCTCACAGACTTAATACCAAAAGGCATAGAAGAATGACCATTCCATTAACTAGGGTATAAAATTTCTACTAACACACACTTCACCCCCTGCACAGCATGACGGAGAAAAGAAACAAATATACAAAGCTTAAAGTAACTTACGGGTATCTAGCATCCCCAACCTTTCCTGTGTACTGAACTTGTTGCCTAGTTCTTCTTAATTCAGCCATGGTCTGTAAAGGATTTGTTCGCCCAAGATTTGCAACCACGCCAGAAATCCTTTCTAACCTTTTATATGGATGGGACCATTGCCCAGTAGAAAAGGCTCTTTGGAGACCATTTGTAATTATGGAAGCATCAAGATAGTGCTCAATTGGCCGTACTTCACGATCTCCATAAAGGTCTCTCTGCAAAGCCTTTGACATTAGCTTCCGAATATGTGCAATGTGAACTTTTAGCTCACGCTCAAGCAGCTCACCAGCTAATTCAAGCCTCTTATTTCGAAAATCATCCCTGTTATCGCATCTTCTGCGGCCAGTATAAGCCAACAAGAGACCCTTCACCATATATGCAAGGAAGCGTGCCTTTCTATTCAAGCCCTTAATGCCGGGAAAGAGATACATGCTAAGGCACTCTTCAATAGACTCTGAAGGTGGAAATTGGATACCTTTTACATAACCCTCTATGTAACGAAGTGCGTTCTTCCCTTTACGAAAGGTTTCACATTTGTCATCAGCATATTGAATGGATGCAAAGAGAATATTTTGAATTCTCACATCAACATTGCCATATTCAATGAGATCTATAATCTCTCTGTCTGATGAGACACCAAGGCCAAAAAATAGTATCCATAGAGGAATCTCAACACCCAAAAAATATACAGTAAGGACCTTCTCTCCACTGTTAATTTCTTCAAATATGTAATTTGATACCAGTTTAATAACCAACCTATTTCTCTTCGCCTGTGACTTGTACATAATTGTCCAAGATGGATCATTTACAACCCAGAGCCTCTTTATATAGATTTGCTCCTGCGCAATAAAAGCCTGCAACAAATTTTTACACACAAGAAATTTATAACAGTAACAAAGAAAGATATTGTGAAGATATACTAAAGACCTATAAAAAATAGAACACAAGAATATAAACGCAGCCTAAAATAAAATAAATTTCTCGCATTAAAAAACACGAAGAATTGTGATAAGCAGAATAGAAAAAGTTCGTAAATCATTAAACAAGCTGACCTTCTCAGCACCCTTGATCACAAAGTAGCCTCCATGATCAAATTCACAATCGCCTTTTTCATCTCCTTTCAAATAACATATATCAGACTTGACCATGACAGGCAGTCTCCCAATGATTATTTCTCTGTCCTCTTCCTTGAGAACATCTCTATCAAGGTATTCTTCTTTCCCAGTCTTAAACTTGTCACTTCGAACCTTCTTTGGAACGTAAACCTATAATCGATAAAGACATGCATGAAAAACAAATTATTTGTCAGAAAATAGAACAGACCATGACATGCATGAAAAATAAATAACATAACCCTTGCTCAGAAATTACTCTTAACAAATTGTTTGTCAGGGAAGACATCGCATGAACTGATACATACACACGCACACACAATCAATCACCGGCATCTCTCTCTCTCTCTCTCTCTCTCTCTCTCTCTCTCTCTCTCTCTCTCTCTCTCAAATAGAAAAACATGATACTAAGTAAGCATATAGCCAGCTTAATAAAAGAATGAAAAAGGAGAAGCATATTGTTTTCTGATTTCTAACCTGAACTTGAAGTTTGACTTTCATTTTGGAAGAATAAGTCATCCTCTGGAGTCGTGCATGTTTGGGAAGCATCTTAAACTCGTGAGCATTCCCTTCGCCGCCCCAGAATTTGGGTTGATCAAGAGTAACCTTCCCGAAACTGACGGAAGCATAACGATAGTGTTCATGATCACCCTTTTTGGAAGGATCAAAGCCAGGCGTAACAATGAGATCACCGAACGAATCAAAAGCGCTCTGAAGGCCAGTGCTGATGAACTGATTGTACGAGTTTATTTGATGACTGATGAGACCATACTGATCGAAGAACAACATCGACGCTTTCTTGCAGAAATAACTCACCATATCTTTTCCCAACTCTTCGAGCATTTCGGCATTGCTGGGAAACTCATCGAGGTCGATATCATCATAGTCGTCGTCTATCTCCATCCTTTTGCCATCCTTACTGGAACCAATGTGACCCATGAGATGAGTGAATGAATGATCAACACTCGACGGTGTTGTAAACCTAGGGTTTTGCTTTTAATTTGGGGTTCTGTACTCTACCACTGCGCTCGGAATAAAAAAAAGGCATTCACTGTATTTGTTCAATTTCTAAACCTCTCTCCAGTTCCAACGTTGTGTTGTGTGTGCTCTCACTCTAAATTCAAAAGTCTTTAAACTGAAAATAAGAAACGAGAAAAGGAAATGGAAAGACGCATGTGTCCCCGTTTGTATATTTATGTGGTCGAGAGGAGATATGTAACTTGTAAGGTCCCACTGTTACAAGAAATGACAAAAAAAAAAAAAAAAGTGCCAAAATATCTCCCACTACCGGAGAGTAATAAAGTGCTTTGTAATCCAAATGAAAATGGTATTCAATTTTTTTTTATACATAACTTATTGCGTAATTATTTACAGGGTTCATTTTTTCTGCAGTTACTGCAGATAAATTATTTGCAGTAAGTCTAATACGACGTCGTTTTGGGACAAAAATCATAGTATTTTTGTAATTTTAATTTATTTCAGGGTTATAATAGTCTTTATATTTATAATTTTTTAAGATTTCAATCCCAAAACGACGTCGTTTTGGGAATAAATGCAGATTCCCAAAACGACGTCGTTTTGCGATTGAAATCTTAAAAAATTATAAATATAAAGACTATTATAACCCTGAAATAAATTACAATTACAAAAATACCATGATTTTCGTCCCAAAACGACGTCGTATTGACTTACTGCAGATAAGTTATCTGCATTAACTGCAGAAAAAGCGAACCCATATATATATATATATATATATATATATATAGGGGTAGGATCTTTTGACACCAGTGTTAAATTTGAAGTTTAACACTTCATCTGAGAGTCGTTAGATCAAAACAGATCAACAGTGTCACATGCTTACAAATCAGAGTCGTTGATCTTTTTTGATCTAATGACTTTCAGACGAGGTGTCAAATTTTAAATTTGACACTAGTGCTTAAGGATCTGCCTCATATATATATATATATATATATATAGAAAGAATCTGTTTACAAATTTTTTTTTTTAAACTTACACTATATCTGATTGATAATACTTTAATTAAGAGTGAATTACCGTTCAGACATAGGTGTAGTTTATAAACAAAATATTTGTAAATATAACATTTCCCTTCTTAGTCTTGCATTTCATTTTTGAAGCTCTGATAATTATTTTTTTTCCCCTTCCATTCTTTCTTTGAAATACAAGTCATCCAGGAATAATTAAGAAAGAAGGAATAATTAAAAAAAGAAAAGAAAAAGCAAGGACATTAAAAAGTTACACATTGTTCATGTCATGAAATGCTCCTAACTGGCATTCAAGGAAACATCCAGGAATCAAACTGATATGTACACGGAATTCATAAGTTTCAGATATATACATACATTGGGAATATACTAGAGACTAGAGAGGGCATGTGTGAAAAAGTGATTAACTAGCAAAGTTCACTATCAAATTTGAGATTTATGCCCATGCTAAAAAGCTCCTGACACAATAATTTAGCTCCATAGGGGACACTAGCTACCACAATGTCGTCAACAGATTCACATAAGCGGCAATAGGGACCTCGTATATTATGGCCACCAGACATCCGTCGTAAAATCACATTTGCAACGTTTCTGCATTTTCTACAAACGTGTATCTGAGAGGAGTCACTGAGTGTAAAGAGGCGTTCATACAGGTTGGCTGATGCACCATGACCGATCAGACAATCACGCTCCATTTCACCAAAGTTGACACCTCCAAAACGCTTCTTGTCTTTCACAGGTTGTCGTGTGACCGGGTGAACCGGACCGGTGTTCCGGAATTTTAATTGATCCTCAGACATGAGTCCAAGTCGCTGGTAGAATGTAGGGCCCATAAATATGAGTTCACCCACCATTTCACCTGTCCTTCCATTATATACTCTCTCTTTCCCCCATCTGGAAAACCCAGCTCTGCCATATACTCAAAAAGAAACATGATTAAGGTTCAATAAAACAAACAAAACAAACACAAAATATACCACTTACAAGTTTCTCCACTAGAAAGTGGCACACGTACTATAAACCATTAAAAAGTCCACACTCCACAACTTAAGTTTTTGGGTTGAAATAGTTTTTTTACGTAATATCAGAACGGACCTCTATTTTATTAATAAAAAATTAAGTCTTGTATACTTTCTTAACATAAATGAGTGAACTTGTGCATTATAATGCTTGTTTTACATACAATATAAGTAATCCAAATTGCATTTGAAGTAAATTGATGTTAACATGGTCAAACTGTACCTGTGAAGCTGATCTGTAATTACATCAACAGAGGGAGTGGAGTAAGGTGTAGCGTGTCTCAATAAACCACCACGTGCAATCCCTTTTCCTAAAGCAGCCTCCAGGAGTTGCCCAGGTGTTTGTCGTGAGGGAAATGCATGTGGATTAATGACAATATCAGGAACAATACCTTGTGTAGTGAAAGGAAAATTTTCTTGAGACTCCAGAAATCCTAAAACACCCTTTTGTCCATGCATGCTTGAGAACTTGTCCCCAACAACTGGACTTCGAACCTGCAGTATTATATTAAATAATAGATTTTCCTAGTGATCAAATTCCATTTAATATTATTATCCTAAAACACCACGTGCATGCATGCATATACTTGTCATAGAGTAAGTTGTGTTAGGTGGAATAACTCCTAAAACTTCATGCACAAGTGGGTACTTTAACCAGTTTACCTGTCTTAACGAAACCACAGCAAAATTCTTCCCCACTTCATTTGAAGACAGCGCAACCTTTTGAACATAACCCCTTTCGGAGTGTTTTAACTTAATACTATGATCCACCCCTGACTCGGTACACCGCGCAATAATAATATCCCCACTTTGCAAATTTGCACCAACATATGGAAAGCCATCATCATCAACGCTATCAACTCTACCAATTCTACTTTCTATCTTTCCAAATTTTACAACATCTTCAGGTTTCCGCATCTTCACCAAAGATTCCTTATTTTCAATTTCTGCTTTGTAACTCCTTATGTGTTCTGATCTGAACATACCACGCTGCAAAGAAGCACGGTTCATCACTATTGAATCTTCTTGATTATATCCCAGATGCACATTGACAGCCACAATTGCATTCTGCCCCTTATAGAATTCTGCGATTGGAAGTACTCTATTTTGGCCCAGTGGATACCCTGGTTTTCCAAGACAATCAGAAGTCATTGTAAGAAAAAGAGGCTTCTGGGGATAATATAACTGCTGAGACAAAATATCAACTCTAATGTCTGGGTTCGTTGTTGAAAATCCAATAGCCTGGGAGGAGTGCTTCTGAGATTGGAGAAGCACCCTTCTTGCTTGATCATGATTGGCAAATGGTACAAGTGAACAGCTTAAACTCAATAAGAATGACATATCAAGTTCACAATGTGTGAACTTTACAGAAGAATTGTCCTCTTTTGAAAATAAATACAGAACACCCCAAGCAGTAAGACAATCTTCCTCTTCTTCAGGTCCAACAAGCTCAACCACACCATCATCCAATAGGGACTGGAAAGAGTAATGTTCTGATTCATATCCTTTAATCTTGTGTAGATTACCAACTACCAAAAGCGGACGTAGAATCCTTCCTGCATCAGAGTATATGCGTACTTCTTGTTGACATTGGTCTCTTTTAATTTCCACCTAGAAACAAAATAATCTAAATTAGGGAAATAGTTTTCTCATTTTACATGAAAAAATTTTCTCATGCTACACTCACAATATATGATTGGGTCCTATCTTGACTTTTTTGTCTTCTCATCTTTCTGTGGATCTCACTCATGTATGGTGAGTGTAGCATGAGAAAATTTTCTCATGTAAAATGAGAAAATTAATTCCCATCATTTAAATATATTGCAATTCTACTTCCTTTTGTATATAACTATATTATGATGGCTACGTTTCCAAGTGCTTAGTCAATAACTGTAACAATTTGTTAATCAATTAAGCTCTGCAGGTTGACATGCCTTAAGCTGTTAAACTTGTCAACCTTTGCTACATTTGACACTTTATGGCTCAAATTAAAAGCATGGCATTTTAAACATATATAAAAATATATGACAAGAACAACATACAAAAACTAACTTAAAATTAGAGATTAAAAGTGAACCTGATGAGGCAATTCATTTCTACGCCTTTTACTTCTTAGTTCTGCCACAAATGAAATGGAATCTGAACACACTCCAACCCAATCCCCATTTAGGAAGACTTTGTCCTTGTTGCCCAGACACGTGGAAGTATCTTCGACCAGTTCTTCCATTCCACAATCAAACAACTGAGGCAATACAGACCCAGTTATGTTGGTGCTTACTAGTCCTGTGACAGCCAAATTTTTTACTAGTTCACAATTTTTACCGTCTGATGTAGTGAGGAAACAAACCTTGCCCCAGTGAGAAGGATGCCTGAAAGAATTTAAACGGATAGAACAAAACAATAGTTTCAAACATACAAAACACCATATATTTGAACTTTCAACTTTAAAGAGAACTCAAAAATCCATCATATATAGTATACACGCCAATATTCAATCCCTTAAGCAGAGGGCGAGTAAACAGCTAAAGCTATTACTAGTACAATGCCAGACACCTTACCCACACCCTTTGTGAAGCAGAGGAAGTTGATGCTTTTACTCATGCCCACAGACTAAAATACCAAAATGCATGAAGAATGACCATTCAGTTTACTAGGGAATAAAATTTCTAGTAACACACACTTCACACACTGCACAGTGCACAGCACGATTGAAAAATTAAAAAAATAAAGAACTAAATAGACAAAGCTTAAAGTAACTTACGGGTAAGTAGCATCCCCAGCCTTTCCTGCATACTGAACTTGTTGCCTAGTTCTTCTTAACTCAGCCACGGTCTGTAATGGATTTGTTCGCCCAAGATTTTCAACCACACCAGAAATCCTTTCTAACCTTTTATATGGATGGGACCATTGTCCAGTAGAAAATGCTCTTTGGAGACCATTTGTAATTATGGAAGCATCAAGATAGTGCTCAATTGGGCATACTTCACGATCTCCATAAAGGTCTCTTTGCAATGCCTTTGCCATTTGCTTCCGCGCATGTTCAATGTGTCTTTTCAGCTCACGTTCAAGAAGCTCACCAGCCAAGTCAAGCCTCTTGTTTCGAAAATCATTCTTGTTATCACATTTTCTGCGGCCAGTATAAGCCAGTAAGAGACCCTTCACCATATATGCAAGTAAGCGTGCCTTCCTTTTAAGGCCTTTAATGTTGGGAAAGAGATACATGTTAAGGCACTCTTCAATAGACTCTGAAGGTGGAAATTGGACACCTTTTACATAACCCTCTATGAAATGAAGTGCATTCTTCCCTTTACGAAAGTATTCACATTTCTCATCCGCATCACGAACGGATGCAAAGAGAATATTGTGAATTATGTCATCATCATTGCCATAATCAATGAGATCTATTATAATCTCTTTGTCTGATGAGACACCAAGACCAAAAAATAGTATCCATACAGGAATCTCCACACTCAAAAAATATACAGTAAGGACCTTCTCTCCAACTTTAATTTCTTTAAATCTGCACTTCTCAACCAGTTTAACACCTAACCTATTTCTCTTCACCTGTGACCTGTACTCAATTTTCCAACATGGATAATTTGAAACCCAGAGCCTCTTTGTATTGATTTGCTCCTGTGCAATAAAGACCTACAAAAAGCATGAACACAAGAACATAAATGCAACCTAAAATAAAAATTAACGTATTGTATCAAAAAGTATGAAAAGTGCTTAAAGCTGACCTTTTCTGCACCCTTGATCAGAAAGTAACCTCCATGATCAAATTCACAATCACCCTTTTTATCTCCTTTCATATAACATAGATCAGACTTAACCATGACAGGGAGTTTCCCAATGATTATTTCTCTGTTATCTTCCTTGAGAACCTCTTTATCAAGGTGTTCTTCTTTTCCAGTTTTAAATTTGTCACTTCTAACCTTCTTTGGAACATAAAACTATAATTTACAAATTGTTTGTCAAGAAAGACACTGCATAAACTGATCCACACACACACACACATACAATCACAAGCATTTCTCTAATAGAAAAAAAAAAAAAAAAAACCATGATACTCTTTTTATTGTGTTTAATGAATGCTTATTATTCTGATAAAACAGTGAACAAAGGAGAAGCATGTTCTTTTATAACCTGAACTTGAAGATTAACTTTCATTTGGGAAGAATAAGTCATCCTCTGAAGTCGGGCATGCCTAGGAAGCATCTTAAACTCCTTAGTATTCCCTTTGTTGTCAAAGAACTTGGGTTGATCAAGAGTAACCTTCCCGAACCTGATGGAAGCATAAGGGTAGTGTTCGTGATCACCCTTTTTGGAAGGATCAAAGCCCGGCGTAACAATGAGGTCACCAAAGGAATCAAAGGTGCTCTGAAGGCCACTGCTGATGAACTGATTGTATGAGTTTATTTGATGACTGATGAGACCATATTGATCAAAGAACAACATCGATGCCTTCTTGCAGAAATGTGTTAGCTTATCTTCTCCCAACTCTTCAATGTGATCCATGATGAATGATCAACACTTAACAAACACTGAAATTCTAGAGCTTTAGTTTGAGCTTCTACAATCTACTACCACTTACACTCACTCACTACCTTTTTTTACTTTTTAACTACCAAATGCTTTGTTGTTCAATTCATAACTAATAACTCACTCATATTCTTCTTTTCTAGTCTTAAATTTGTAAATTCCTACGTAGAAAATGCGTTTGATAAGAACTTTTACTTTAATTGGACAACAGAGGAGAGAAATGTGAGGAAAAAAAATCACTCACTGTGACTTTGAGAGTACGCTAAGACCTTTTACTTCAATTAGCAAATGCATATTTTTTCAAATGAAATTGGCAATTCGACTACGTTTATATGTATTATTTTATTTTGAGTATTAGGATATTGTTCGCACCAACTTCTAATTACGTGCGTTGAGTACAAATTACTCCTTGGCCTGTCAAATATGGCATGCTTTCTATTTTAGTCCAAGTGCTACTGATTATTACCTCTTATGTCATTTTCTCTTCTTTTTTTTTTCTTTTTTTTTTAACTATAATACTTGCGTTGAAATCTTCAATTTCCTTTGTTCGGTTTCATCTCTTTTCTAAACTGAATGGCAACTACAGACTAAATTTTCAATTTTTTATTTTATAATTACGAATATATTTAAAACAGTAAAATCACTCAATTGCATTAACTTTAATTTTGAGTGTTTTCAACATTAAATTGTAAATATTTTCAAATGATAATAATTATATTTTAATTAAAATTATTAACCCAATGACTCCCTGTGAACATCAACCCTAAAATAGTCCTAGTTTCTGTTTTCAAAATAATTATTGTAAACAAATCTTTTTTGTCTTTATAATTATTTTAACTTAATTCTAACGAATGATTATATTTCTACTACTGTACACATACCATTGAGATCCGATTGTATAAGATAAACCTGATTAAATTTTAATATTATTCAGTGTTTGACATAATATTATATAAAAATAATATATTGCATAGAATAATACTATTAAGTGTTTGGTAATGCACTATATAATACTATATAGGATAAAAATAAATATTTTTGACAGAATTTCTTTAATAAAAAATTTATATAATTCTTTTAAATATGTCATATATATCAATTTTTATAAAAATTTATCAATTAATATGTCCAAAAATATATATTAATTTTTGTAAAAACAAAAATCTTAAATATTTTTAAAAAAATTCATGATTACTTTTATAAAGGTCCTATCAGGTATTTTAGCGAGCATGTTATAGGCAGCGCTGATCTCAGCGCACTTGGAATAGAACTCGATGAGATGGTTTGAGAGAAAGGTGTATGAGAAAATGCTTAGGTGGAAGATTAGAGCATGAACAATATTACTGGCTAATTTAGCTTTATAATCGCATATGCACCACTGCATTAGATTTGTCAAATTCGACTTGCTTTCCATCAAAATACCCTCGATTTTCGAATATTAGGGTTTAGTTTTTATGCTTTTTTTACAAATTACAGAGAGACTAAAAAAAGGAGACAGTTGAACGGGGGAAAAGAGGAAGGGGGGTTACAGTGGGAAGAAGAAATAAGGTTACAATGGGAAACAAAAAGAGGGGAAGAGATTTGTTTAATACATCAATACTTTATCGGGACTAATCCGACCCCATGGAAAATATTTAATATGCTCCAAGATCAGTTAATGATTTGGTGTTTCTTCTCACAACACTAATTTTTTCTTTCCCATTTTACCCATGTTATTTTTCTTCTTTTCCAATTTTATCTTTTCATTTACACTAAAGGACCACCTAATAAATGGTGGTCCCGAACCACGATAAATTCACTCCCCATCTAGACATGATAAGCTTATTCGTCATATTAAAAGATCTTTGTATAAGTTTGTACGATACAATGATCATATCAAATCAGGCCTTATACATCACACCAAACAGACTTTAAAGGGAGAGAAACATGATGGGTATGCAAGAGAATGATGGCCTTATACATCACACCCATTGTTGTTAAAATCTCGATTTATCACTACGATTTTATATTTTTACGATTTTTTTCATCAAAACGATTTTACTAATATTCCAAACGCTTTTACATTTTTTACAATTTTTTTACATTACGATTTTACGTTTTACGATTTTTTAATCCCTTACAATTTTACTTAAGATCTCGATTTTAACAACATTAAACACACCAAACAGGTCTTAAAGGGAAAGAAACATGATGGGTATGCAAGAGAATGATTTTATTAGATGCTACCTGCATTGTTTTTAGAAAGAAATAAATTTTTTTACTTATATATTTAGAAAGAATTTTTGGAATTTTTTTTTTAATAAACTAATTTAATTTTATACCCAAAAAAAGAATGTGTATTTATTAAGTAATAAGTATTTAATACTGATAACACGTTCTATAATATTTTAATTTAACAGATAGCATGTCAGGAAATTAATTTATTTTTATACCCAAAGAAAGAACGTGTATTTATTAAGTAATATATATTTAATACTGATAACACACTCTATAATATTTTAATTTAATAGATAGCGTGTCAGGAAAAAATAATTTTTAATTTCTGTTAATTTATGTTCCCGTTTGATCCTCTGTAATTGAAAAATAAATAAATTTTATCAAATGTTATTTTTAAATATTTTTATTCCCCAAATTATAAATAACGAAAAAAATAATGTTTATGAAAACAATGTCAATATGTCATGCATGTTCGTGCTAAATGTTATACATACTCATTGCTAATTTCTAATTTGGAAGGATCAAAGCCCGACGTAACAATGAGGTCACCAAAGGAATCAAAGGTGCTCTGAAGTAGGAGTGTTCATCAACCGATCCAAATTGATTCAAACCGCGAGAACCGAACCGAAAAATCGATAACCGAATAAATCGAAAACCGAAAAAAAACTACAAATTTTAATTGGATTGGATCGATTTTCAGATGGGTTGATGAAAACCGATCCAATCCAAACCGATCTAATATATTAATTTTTCTCTACCTACTTGGTCCTTTCTCCAATTATAGCTCAAAAATTTCTAAACCCAAGACCCACTAAATCATCAACTAAACCCAAGAAAAAATCTAGTCACGTCTCATCAACAAAATTTAATCTGTGTAGAGCTTCATATCTTATTGCCAAAATAGTATCGTTTACTGATATTTTTGCATTTCAAAAATAAAAAAATTTACAAAACCAATATATACAAAAGACGTTATTTGCACAATAATCATGAAACTAATTTTAGGATATTCAAAAAACCGAAAATCGATCAAATCCAAACCGAAAAAAAATGGATCGGATCGGATTTGAAAAAAAATTCAAACCGAATGGATGATTACATGATCAAACCGAAGGGATTGGATCGGATAAGTTTTGCTTCCAAAACTGATCCGATCCAGACTGCGAACACCCCTAGTCTGGCCAGTGCTGATGAACTGATTTGTATTGAGTTTATTTGATGACTGATGAGACCATATTGATCAAAGAACGATGCCTTCTTGCATAAATGTCTTAGTTTATCTTCTCCCAACTCTTCAATGTGATCCATGATGAATGATCAACACTCAACAAACACTGAAATTAGTTTGAGCTTCTACAATCTACCACTTACACTCAACTCACTCACTACCTCTTTTTTTTTTTTTTACTTTTAACTACCAAATGCTTTGTTGTTCAATTCATAACTAATAACTCACTCATATTCTTCTTTTCTAGTCTTAAATTTGTAAATTCAAAAGTAGAAAATGTGTTCGATAAGACCTTTTACTTTAATGGGACAACATAGGAGAAAAATGTGAGGGAAAAAAACACACTCACAGTGACTTTGAGAATACGCTAAGACCTTTTACTTCAATTAGCAAATGCGTATTTGTTCAAATGAAATTGGCAATTCGATTATGTTTATATGTATTATTTTGTTTTGTTTTGTTTTGAGTATTAGGATATTGTTCGCTCCAACTTCTAATTATTTGCGTTGAGTACGAATTACACCTTAGCCTGTCATGTGTCAAATATGGTATGCTTTCTATTTTTATAGTCCAAGTGCTGCTGATTATTACCTCTTATGTCATTTTTTTTTAATTATAATACTTGCGTTGAAATCTTCAATTTCCTTTGTTCGGTTTCATCTCTTTTCTAAAGTGTGTGGCAATTACAGACTGAATTTTCAATTTTTTATTTTATAATTACAAATATATTTAAAAAAAATTAAATTATTTAAAGATTAATATTAGAAATAATTTTAAATTAATATTATTCAGATAAATTAAATTCTAAAAAGTAAAATCACTCAATTGCATTAAGTTTAACTTTGAGTGCTTTCAACATTAAATTATAAATATTTTCAAATAATATTAATAATTATATTTTAATTAAAATAATTAACCCAATGACTCCCTGTGAACATAAACCCTAAAAAATTCCTAGTTTCTGTTTTCAAAATAATTATTGTAAACAGATTTTTTTTGTCTTTATAATTATTTTAACTATTAATGCTAACGAATGATTATATATCTACTACTGCACAAGTGCCATACTGCCATTGAGACGAAGGGAGAGAAACACGACGGGTGTGCAGGAGAATGATTTTATTAGGTGCTACCTGCATTGTATTTAGAAATAAATAAATTCTTTTACTTATATATTTACAAAGAATTTTTGGAAAAAAATATTTAATAAATTAATTTATTTTTATACCCAAAGAAAGAATATGTATTTATTAAATAGTATATATTTAATACTGATAACACCTTCTATAATATTTAATAGATAGCGTGTCAGGAAATTAATTTATTTTTATACCCAAAGAAAGAATGTGTATTTATTAAGTAATATATATTTAATACTGATAACACACTCTATAATATTTTAATTTAATAGATAGCGTGTCAGGAAAAAATAATTTTTAATTTCTGTTAATTTATGTTCCCGTTTGATCCTCGGTAATAGAAAAATAAATAAATTTTATCAAATGTTATTTTTAAATATTTTTATTCCCCAAATTATAAATAACGAAAAAAAAATGTTTATGAAAACAATGTCAATATGTCATGCATGTTCGTGCTAGATGTTATACTCATTACTATTTCTAATTTGGTATACATGATAATATGAAAGTGATACAAGTTATGGGTTACGAGGCAGTACGACATGACTTCTTTAGAGGGTAGTGCTAATTTTGGAATAAGGTGTATAGGTTAGGCCAGCGAGACGTTACTTCTTTAGAGGATAATGCTAATTTTAGATTAAGGTCTACGTGATATTATCGCCTTCAAATTAGCAAAGTGTTTGATACAATATTTATGTGCTTCATTCAACACACACTGCATTCTTTTGTTTGATCTTCCTTCTTACATCAAAGCCATTATCATTGGTCCCCCACCCCACATTATCTTATATATATGGTATTGACTTCTTCACCTTTGCCCATCTTACTGCTTCTTGTACAATCTCTCCCACATTATTATAATCAACTAGGAAACATTATCAATGAGGATGATGTCTTTTCTTTTTTTATCCTACTCGAAGATAGAAGTGGGGATGCATATAAGACAAAGTAAACCCCTACGTGTTAATGGCAGAGAGATGGTGTATATTGGTTACACAAGCCTTCATAGTTTGTTCTAATGTCCCACAATATATATATATATATATATATATATATATATATATATATATATGTGTGTGTGTGTGTGTGTGTGTGTGTGTCATCTTGGATTCTTGGTTCAGCGCTATATTTATTGGAGGATACTGACCTGATATGCACTTAATTACTGCTTTTCATGGAAATAGATAAAGATGTCAATGGGCACCAGTTGCACAAAATTAGATATCTAACAGTGATGTTTACCAAATAATGATTGAAAAAAAAACAAAAAAAAAAAACGAGTAGAGTTCTCAAATTGCTCTGTTCTTTTAGACAACCTCAAAAACTTACAATAGGTTTAAAAAACTATCTATCTATTTATATTTGTTTTTTTGTCTCTCTCAACCATTTCATTCATTATTCGACTTAATCTCAAAATTATTAATTTAGAAGAATTATTTCTTTATTACTTCAACCAACAATAATTAATTATTTATATCTATTTATACATGATATAAAAGTTGTTCTATTATTACGATCATATGCTAAAATTTTAAAATTTGGCTTTTCTTTATAACTTTAATTTTTTATTTATATCTTTATTGACTTTTTTTTAATCTTTTAAAAAAAATTATCGATAACAATCAAAGTGTATTTATTTTTATACATATTTTATTATAATTGTAGAGTAATAAAATATTAAAATAATAATAATCTTTTAATCTCAATCATTAAGTTATAATAATAATAACATTTGAATATATCCTCTTATATAATTTTATTTTTATTTTTTTGGTAGAATCCTCTTATATAATTTTATTTATAAAGTTGTGAGACACGGAAAGAGGATTCAAACCTAGCAATACATTTGATTCATTTCCCTTATCTTTTTTTCCCAGGACTCACATGTGTAGTACGTACTCAAGCAAAATAATAATAACAATATATGTATTATAATTTTTTTATTCCTGTCCCATAAATTTTTTTCCAAGACTCACAAGTGCAATAGGTGTTAGAAATTTTTATAATAATTGTGAGCTTCAATCAATTGTAATTTTCTTTTGTTTTGATAAAAACAGGCTAAGTCATGATTCATATGGGAACGTAGTATAAAGCCCATTTAATTAAGTGATCCTTTTGTTTGGGTTTGGATATCTATCTGTAAACTGATTAGTGTAGGTAATAGTGTAGGCCCAACCCATAGGCTCATGATGAGAAGGGAACTAGGGTTAATAAGTTTGGCTATGTCTCCTCTGCATTCACAACGTTACTCCACAACTCGTCCCATCGACGATTGTGATCAAGGAGTGGTGTGAATTGTAGAGGAAGATCCTGGTCTTTCCATTGCAGGAGCATTAGAGAAATCAAGAAGCCTTCAACAAATCAAGAATCATGTCTTCAACAAATAAGCCTAAATCTTTTAATGTTCTAATTTCATATAATCTCATTTTGAAATTTCTTACAGTTTGCACTCAAACGAAACAAAAATATGAATAGTATTATAGTTTTTTATTTAGTTTATGATTATTTCATTTATGGTATATTTCTATCATATTTATATTAATAATATTAGCATAAAGTAAATCAAAAAAATTATAAATATACAATACAATGTAATATTAAAATTAATATGATGAATTTCTGGAAAAATTACCAAAATATAATTAAGATTGAGTTATAAAATTATATATTTAAAATGAAAGAGAGATAGAGAGAGTAACAATTAGAAATCTTTCTCTTGTCTTTAAAAAATTAATTAACATGTTAAAATAAAAATAATTATATTTTTATTTAAATTAGAGGAAATATTTATCATTTTAAAGGACAGACATTTTAATTAAAATTAATATTTTATTTAATATTTAAATTAAAAAATATCTCACTTTTTTCCACCATAATTTCTGTTTCTCTTACTATAAAATACAGTAATTTTGATTAATATAACAAAATTTATATCTTTTAAAAGGACAAACATCAATCTCTTTAAATTTTATATACACACATATATATTTATATATATATATATAATTAAAAGTGCATCTAAATATTATTATAAATTAAATTAAAACATATAATTATTAAATTTTAAATTATGAATCTCTATATTGTACTTTACGATATTACAAGTAACTCATTATTTTCAAAATATTTTGACTAGAAAATTACTTAAACTCTTAAAGTAAATAATTCATTAAATATTTACTATATATTTATACATTAAATAAAAAGCCATAATTATAAATATTTGATTTAAATAACCTAAGATAATTAGTATTTTCGACCGATTATCGATTCAAAATTAATATTGTGACCATGCTCAAAAGACACCCCCGTAAACTTCCCGCGTTGCCCGAGTCACCACTCACCATTGCTTTGTGGTGAATTATCAACTTGTTAACGACTTTATCATTCCCAAGATCAATATGTATAAATAAAAACTGCTAGATACCCAAATAACACAGGTAAGATCTCTCAAAATCCAAATTATATATTAACTTTATTACAAAAAATAAATAAATTATATATTAACTTAATAAAGTTTACAAGGCTAAATAATAAACAAAGAATTTTTGTTTTTTGTAATTATAAGAACACATGATATGCATAATAACACGAGGAGGAGGAAGGACTCTCGTGGGGGTGGCTGCTAGTTGCATATGCTTTACTTTAGGTTTGATTTAAACGAATATAAGTAATGTTTCATTTGATTTAAATAAAGAACTAGGTTTCACTTTAAACCAAACAATACTAAAAAAGCTTGTGTGTTGCGGTAAGCATGTATATAGCCCCCTAATTTCGGGTAACTCACTCAATTTATTTGGTTATAATCCTTCTAATTGTAAACCGAACATGCTTCACCAATCACTACGTCGGTGTGTTTTATGCTAGAATACGATGATGGTTTAGGACACTGGAGCTTGCTACTTTTGGAAAATGGAAACGCTGGTTTGTCCACAGTTAGCTGTTCTAATTAGAAATCTGGTTAGAGCCTTGAGCAAGCTCGTTTGGAAAAACTCTAGGTCCCATCCCATCCTCTCTCTCTTTTTTAATTAATTTTCTCAATTATTTACAAAATTTCCCATTTAAATCTTTCAAATTTTGTCACATGTTAGAAATGTAAAGTATGGTATTGCATATCTAGACACTCTTATTGGGTCAAAAAAATACATATTTTATTATATATATTAATCTTAAGTAGAAAAAAAAAACATATATAAGTGAATGTAGATAATTTATCTACATTCACTCTCAAAACGACATCATTTTAGATTAGAAAATTAAAAAATTATAATGAAAAAGACTATTATAACCTTGAAATAAATTACAATTAAAAAAATACCTTGATTTTCGTCTCAAAAAAATGTCGTTTTGGGCTCAGTGTAGATAAGTTATCTACACTTATCTACATTGACAGTAGAAAAAGCGAACCCTCTATATATATATATATATATATATATATATATATATATATATATATATATTGGGAAATGTTTTTCTTATGTTGACGGAGATAAGTTATCTCATGTTAGTGACACAAAATTATAAGAGAGACCCACAAATAATTGGAAAGAGAAAAAATAGAGGTGGGACCCACCTTTGTTATGTGTGTGTAGGAATTTGATTTATCTTATGTTAAATGAGATAAATATAACCCATATATATTAGTAAAATGCCTTTTATGTATTATTCTTTTCTATTTAAATAATTTAAATATGAATTAAATATTTACTCATCAAATAAAAAACTTAGGCAATGTTTGAATTGTGTTTCGGAAAATTATTTTTTGATTTTCAGGACAAAAAAACTTATTTGATAAAGTCTATTTTATAAAAATAATTTTAAAAATTATAATTGTTTTTAAGTTTTTAGAATCAAATTTAGAGAATATGTCTAAGTTATTCTTGTTTTATGTTTTGACTTTTAACTTTTAAAACACAAAAAAACACATATTTCATTAACTATTTTACAAAATAATTAAAAAGAAAAGAAAGGAGAGAGAACAATCAAACAGGCACTTTTTATCAAGAAATAATAAATTCAAATAATTTGTGCTACCAGAGTTTGATCATTTGAACAATGACACCATATTCCTTTCTTCAATCAATTGCATGGATGGAAATGGGTTCAATCGAGGCGGAGTAATAAGTACTCGACCTGAACAATTTTTGTGAGGGGTATTATCCATTTCTTGTACAAGCAGGAAACTAGTGATGGATCAACCTTGTATTTTCTCTTGACATCACCATTAAGACTCACTTCCTGCCCAAACACCATGGCCTTCTTTTCAACCCTCATCCTCACCATCTCTTCTACGCTCTCAGATGTCAACAATTTCATCAATGCTTTTCTGTCCTGGATTAAACAAAAAAGTATACAATTCCAATTTTTACAATAGCATAACATCAAAAACCAACAAGACTATAGCATTTTGAAAATGAAAGATGGTGCCAACACTCATAAAGATAATTACTAAAAATGTAATCCTTTGCAGGAAAGTAAGGCCAAAGTTCACAAGCCTCACTCCTTGATCTTATTAGATCAAAAAAACTAACTATAAAACTCTTCATTCACTAGCCACTACACTGGTTAAGAATGAAACATTATATATACCTGAGCACGAATTAAAGGCTCATAATCTTGAGGAGAATCCCTGAATTTCGCCTCAGCTACAAACTTTCCATAATGAATCCTTCTAGAGATGGCCTACAGAAATTTTATAGAATAAAGATAAAGTGTCACAAGTCACAACTAACTCTAGTTTAGGCCATTGTTGAAAATTATCTCTCTGAGTTGGACCAAAATACATTAACAAAAATGGGAAGTTAAGACTGCTTTTGACTACAAAGATTGCTCTGAATAACTTCACCCATCAACATACTCATAAATGGAAAATTTACCTGCAATAATGAAAGATCACTAGCTGCAGTTTGTGCATAGTTCCCATCATCACCCGAAGCAACAAACATTGGAAGCAGCTTATGAAAGTACATTTTCCAGATAGGCTTGTTTATGTTAATCAAAGCGGCTACAGGATGCAAAAACTAAAGACAAAGTTTATTTCCACTAAGTTGCATAAACTACGCAGACTAGGAAATCATACAAGAGTTTTGGTGAATTACCTGTGAGAAGTTGTAATGTGGCACAACTGAGCGTGGTAAATTTTCAGGGAAGAAGGGATTTTCTTCAGGGTTAATGTATCTTCCTGCCTGTAACATTCCAGATAATCATTTTATGCGTAATATTGTTTCAAATGCAATAACATAATTCAAAACAAATAAGAAAGCCACTCATGGAGTTTGACATATATCTGATACAATACCCTTCTGGTTGCACATGATGCCATAGACTCCATGAAGAAACTAAGATAACAAAAGAATGAGAAATAGAAAATTATAAACTGCATGTTCAAAAAATTTCCACAAAAGTAACAATATAACCGTATCAAATGTACTGCTTATATTCAACACCTAAGATTAAGAATGAATAATAGATTTTGCAAAGACTTCGAATTCCTCGCCCCTCCCCTCTTTCTTGTAAAGAGAAAGAGCGACCAAAATTTAAATAATAATTAAAAGCAGAGGAAGATACAATGCCAATGCTGGAAATGCACATGACTTCCCTGTTACAGCGTCACTTGATATAAATTAGCACTGCGTCAAGCACCAACTCTTGTAAGAACTTAAAATTCTATGTGTGGGCACGTAAATAATTTTTGGGTTCGCTTTTTGTCATGTCACATGACAAGATCATTTTTCTGTACACACAAATCAAATGTGGATTCCACGCTTAAAAAAAAAAAGTCAAACCAAAATCAGGATACGGCGCCATATCCTCAAGATACGTTGCCGGATCCTTGTTGTAGGAATGAACAGTGTTATTCCTGCAAAATGATTCTTATATTTCCCAAAAAATTTATATTATATTTCTAGCAAAGATGAAAGTTTAGTCACCCCCTTATCTTTCTAACACAAGGCAAATGCAATATGTATTATAGATAGCGGTTTATCTTTTGTCACGTGACATAACATTCACAGCAAAACTAAGTGATTTTAGAAGTTAAGGAAATTATAGAAAGGTGTCTTTTGTAAAATTCAAATAATAAATAAATAAACAAAAAAAACCAAAACACACTTAACTCTGTTAACTCTTAAAATGACATAATTTTGAGATGATATGACCTAACTTTATATCATGTGACATGAAAAATAATAAACCCTATATATATTGATATAAAAAAATAATGAATAAATTTGAGGAGCCCAAAGAGAACAAAGATGTGAAGGTGGGGACTAGTAACTTACCTTAGCTTGAATGGTCTCAGTATTGTGAACAAGGAATTCGAGCAATGAGCCACGAAACTCGGGAAAGGAAGAGTAATTTTGATGGTAGGTGGGAGAATTGAAAGGGAACCTGACTCTATCAATGAGACCAAAAACCATGGTGTCTTCTTGTCTAGCCAAAGACTCTCTCACTGAATCTAACGTGTATTCATTCCCGGACTCTGCTTTCGCTGTTCTGTATCTCTCCGTACAACTAAGCAACGCCAGAAGGGGCACTACAAATCTAAGCATCGTCTTACTCTTTGTTAAGAAAGTAATGCCTGCAATAGTCATAGGATGGATATTATTGCTTTTATTTATGTATGAAATGGCATTTGGCATGGTCAGTTCAACGCCACTCATTTGGACACATCATAATATCATGTCTCTATCTATTTATTTGGCACTTGAAAACGAAAAGATATTCTAGTATTGTGTATACTGTATAGCATAGAAAAAGTCAACTAACTACCTTTAAGTCTTTGTATTTGTATGAGACTGTTGGAATGAGTTTAAACTTAATTAGACTCTGCGGTTTTCAAAAAGGCAAAATGAATGAATGACAACTGTAACTAGAAAGCTCGATGCGGAAGTAGTAAAATAAAATGCGCTCTTTCACGCCGCGCGTGTTGCTCCGCTTCGCCGGCCACAGCAATGCAAGTTCACATGTAGGTCCCACGCACCACATGATATACCGTTGAACTTTAGGTTGGTGAAGCGTTCACGAGAATACGAAGCGTTTACTTAATAACGACATGATAATATACTGAAACTAGTTTTCTTTTTCCTTTTTCTTTTTCTTTTTCTTGGGGGATGGGGTCGGCAGAAATTGTCATTGTGTTGAATGTTTGTATGTGTGAATATTATCCGCTACTTATGTTTTACTGTGCTATGAATGAAATGTTAAAATTCATTTAAATATCAATAATTTTCAAAGTATAGTATAAAATTCTTTTGAAAAGTCAATGTAAACACAGCCGGTATTGTAAATACATCCCTTGTGGTACCATGATCACAAATCATTCTTTTGAATGAATACCTCAAATTCAACTCATTTCTTGCATTTAATGGTAATTCAGATTAAGAGAAATTAAAACGAATACCGTATCGCAAATCCCTCTGTTCAAGGTTAATTAGAGAAAATAAAACATTTCACCCCCAAAAAAAACACATTCGAAAAAATAAAACAGACGTGATAAGATAATATTTCGTTAATCGAAATTGGAAATTCGTCAAAGCTAATTATAGGTACGGTAGAGAAGAAAATTATACTACCGACTAAATTGTTTGAACAAGATAACGGATCATTAAAAGTTAAGCCACTATACATGGGATTTTCTGCAAATAGCTGAAATGAGTCAATACCTAGAACTCTTGTTCGTTGCTAAATCCAGATATATTTAACTGCAGTTGCTTACAGTCACCTCTCCTTAAATCTAGCAATAAGTATAATAATCCCAATAGGCTCCACAAGAAGAGAATCAGATAGACACATCTCGACGACTGCTCTACAATAGACAGCTATTTTGGCTCCCTTCAATTCACCAAAGCTATTGAAAATCATTCTCCAAATCATTTCCTCCAGAGATCTAAACCATAAATTTGACAAAATAATGAAGCAACAGGTAATTAAATTGCACTGCCAGGAAATCAACTTCAGACTTCAAAAGCTATCCCAAAACTTGACTCAACTTCAAAGCAGTTTCAGGATCAATTGGAAAAGTAAACCGAGAAGTTTCTGGAACATGTTGTGAGATAAGTCGTGCGGTGTCTTTACACCAAGTAACCTCTCTCTCTTTTTCAATAAGCTTCTGCGTGGTACATTCCAAAGCAGATTCCAGCTCTGTAATCCGTTCTTGCAGTCTTGTTTCAAGTAGTTCATGCAATCTTCTCTCCAGTTCAACTGGAGGGACTCCAAATGATACATCAGAACTTGCCCCCTGAGGTTCCATCATTATTTCTCCAAAACTTGAACGATGGCTTGTTGAACGAGAGTCCTTTACGGTTACCTGCCAATTCTCGTTTTCAGCCGTTCTGTTATAGAACTAATAGCCAGGAACATAAGTAAAGAGTAAACAAAAAAAATATAATCGGATAATTTTACTAACATACAAAGACGGGATAGCTTAAAATTAATAGCACGAGATGAAAAGGAAAGGCAGCATATAGCCGCAAATTTATAATAAACATTTCATAATCTGTGTCTACCAAGAGTAGCCTCCTTTTCCAGAAGCAGCTCTAGGTACCAAAAGGACGTTATAGTGAAGCTTCATCTAGATATTTTCTTTCAACTGATTGAAGAGACTATTCCTGAATTGATATTTGAAAGGTTCAATTATCCAACAATATCTGCATAAAAGTATTAAAGAGTAGCAACTCCTACTAACACCAGATTGGACAAACCACATAATAGTTTCCTGAACGTATATTGGTTGAAACATCCCTCAAATGCACAATAAGTAGAAGAAATTGACTTAATTGAGATCTAACTGGCGCAAACTTAATCCTTTCTTGGTTGACTTATCCGGGTATAAAGTTGTTCATCATATATCAGAATCAGGAAACAAATATAATCATGAGAAACCAAACTATGAAACAATCTACCTTTACTCTTTCTTGTTGTTCATCAGCAAATGCAGCTTCACCATCCAAATGCAATTGCAACCGTTGTAACTCAATTTCAAATTCTGCCTGGAGCTCATTTATTTCTTCTGCACATTTATCTTGTTCACTTATCTTATATTCTAGAAAACAATTATGAAACATATCGCTTTCTGGAATTGGGTGAGCATATGGTGTTTGTGAATGAACTGAAATATAATTACTAGAGCTAGAAGCTTCTTGAATGTCAGTGATGGAACAGGCAAGAGCATCACTTTGTTTCAATGGCTTAAGAAGCGCATCTTTACTTTTCAGTTCTCCTTTCACATTTTGAAGAAGCATTTCCATTTCTTTCCGCAACTCAGCCATCTTGCCAAGTTCATTTTTACTTGCTGCAATCAGATATAGAAAACCACAACCAACTCCTAGCTTAAAAGAAGTATCATTCCCATGTAACTGTCCTGCAGGACATCAACAACATCATTAGATTAACTACTTTGACGGAAAAAAAGAAGTGATAGTGTGGAGAGGGAAGAAAAAAGGAACAAAGCCAATAAACGGGTAAAACAATTTTGCCTTTCATGCCAAACAAGAAAACAAACATTAGATGCCACATGAATGAATGATATTTCAAAAGAATTTCACTTGTAACAGGTAAATCATATATGGGAAAATATTTTCTCATGTAGTAAGAGAGTTATTTTCTTCTACTAGTGACCTTTCGATTTTCGTGCAATATTTTCTTTTGCTTTATTATTTTTTTAATAGATGTGGGCCCCATATAAGATGTGTCTACAACATGAGAAAATTTTCTCCTACTGCATAAGAAAATCGAAACCCATCATATATATATTATATGGGGCAAGTTATATTTACAAACTTTTTTGTTTACAAACTACACTAAGTACGACCGGTCATACTTTTAATCATGCAGTGTACGACCGGTCGTACTTAGTGTAATTTGCAAAAAAAGTTTGTAAACGGATCTTATCCCATATTATATATATGAGGTAGGATCCTTTGACACTAGTGTCAAATTTCAAATTTGACATCTCATCTGATAGCCGTTAGATCAAAAAAGATCAAAAATGTCACATGCATATAAATCAGAGTCTTTGATCTTTTTTTATCTAACAGCTCTCAGATGAAGTGTCAAACTTTAAATTTGACACCGGTGTCAAAGAATCCTACCTCTCTCTCTATATATATATATAATATAATATATTAGGGAAATTGGGTGTTATGTGACTGGATATAAGCTTTTTTCCGGTCAAAAAAATTATAACTATGTATTACGAGTAGTACATAAATATTAAAGTTTTTTTTTCTCTCTCTTCAGAAATATAACTATGCAATATGAGTAGTACATGGTTATAATAATACATGTATATAGTTATATTTATGAAGAGAGAAAAAAAAAAACAACTTTACTATTATAATCATGTACTACTCATAGTAATAGTTATATTTCTGAAGAGAGAAAGAGAAAAGAGCAACTTTAATATTATAACTATTTACTACATGTAATTTATAGTTATAATTTTTTGACTAAACAAACCCTATTCCGTCACTGTAAATTCGCTTAACCCATATATATATATATAGGTGATGTCTGTATATCACATTATTTCGAAGAGAACAGAACCCAAACTTCAAATGAAATAACTACTACTGATGTTCACATGGAGCCATTGAGAAAATTACACAGGTTTAGGTTTAGCTTATTCAGAAATTGCATTGTGATGAATCACATAGTGCTGAAATACAATGGATGATTAACCAGTTTTCACAATCAAAAGCAAAACCAAACTACACGGTCAAGAACTACTAACAACTAAGAACAAACATATTCAACTTCAGGAAGTTAAACCTTAGGGTACAGACACTAACGAAGCATCATTACTAATCACAAACGAATCAAGCACAAACAACAGTAGTTAGATATTTTTTGAAGTTAAGAATATCAAGTTAATTAAAGCAAATTAAATTGAGAGAAGAGCTTCTCACTCGATTCCTCGCTACCATTTAGTTCAATCATCGGCAACGTCGGCGCGTCCTCCTCCTCGTTCAGCCGCCGTCGCGCAATTCTATGCTCCTTGTTCGGCCTCAGCAACGTCAGCAACCAAGCAACAAGCCGCCGTGGCGAACAGCACTTGGTAGACGGAGAACCACGTCTTGGTGGCGGTGTTTCTCGGACGCCATCCATGAAATCAGCGCCGCCTTGGTCTTCGTCGGAGAGAAGAATATCGGCAACGCTTAGGCGGCGGCGGCGATTGGGAGAGTGGGAGTTGGCGAAGGAGCATAGATTAAGATTTGGGGATCAAAAGATGAGGTGCTTCATAATTCATATAGATGGATCGTCACAAAAGGTACGGAGAGTGAGCATTAAATTCGTTGATGATAACGATCGATTCAACTTCTAAGCTCACAGACAGAAAACCTATTTTGGATTTTGGAGGGAAAACTCGGGGTTCTTCTTCTTCTTTACTATAATTATTTACTAAACAACAATGTTAATAAAGGACAGAAAACTCAGGAAGTAAACTGGGGAAGTAATTTTTACGGTTACTGTTAAAAATATTCACTACCAACTCACTACTTTTACAATTATCATTGGATCAAAGAGAAGGAATGCTAAAAAGTTTTTGAAAAAAGAAAAAATGTTAATCCAATGGTGATTATGGAGGTGGTGGGTTGGTAGTGAATTTTTCTAATAGTAAGAATATCCTCACTCATTTTTATGAAAGAAATATGGGTTTAAATTATTTTCTTTTGTAAGAGACAATTATCTTAGGTAAGTGGGACATAGAAAATTGTGCTATTTCTTTTTTCTTTCTTTCTTTTTTTTTAAAAATGATGGGACCCACGTGATTTGTTTCTATGACATGATGTAAGTTGTCTTCTATTAAAGGAGATTAATAAATCCCAAGAAATATATGGTTTGTTATTCCCTCAACAAATCTATTTTAAGAACAATGATTATTTTGACACGCCTTGCCAAACTATTTATCAGAATACCATGTCAATCGTAAAAATTCTCGGAATGCCATGCAGCATAATTCGCTGCATTGTGCAACAAAATATGTTTGCAAATAATTCGCTACATAGTGTAGCGAATTATGCCATGTCAGGCTGCACAGTCAGCAAAAATGACACATGTCAAGCAGGCATCAATACAAGCATAATTCGCTACACAGTGTAGCGAATTACTGCATGCTTGACACGTGTTATTTTTGCTGAGTGAGTAGCTTAACATGGCATAATTCGCTACACTATGTAGCGAATTATTTGCAAACATATTTCGCTGCACAGTGCAGCGAATTATGTCGCGTGGCATTCCAGGAATTTTTACTGTTGGCATGACAGTCTGGTAGATAATTTGCTAAAGTGTGGCAAAATGGTCACTATTCCTCTATTTTGATCTATTTGAATTGTATTGCGTTAAATCTTTTTATGGAAAAAATGTTTGTCATTTTAAATGACATAAAGCTATGTCATTTTAAAAGAGAGATAGACACAAAATTATTATTTTTATTTAAAATTTAAATTAAAAAAAACTACCTACTTTCTCTCTCTCATGATTTTCATTTTTTGTGTCTCTCTCTTAAAATGACATAATTTATGTCATTTAAAATGAAAAACATCAAACCTGACATTTTGACCACTATAGCCTTTTTTTAATAATTAATTACCTAATTGACCCTATTTATAAATTATTTCAAAAATTTAACCTTAAAACATAACACCAATATCCCGTTGACCATTTTTTGAATCTGGGAAAATGTTTGAATTATTTACCCGGGTAGAGAGGGAGTTACCCGGATAAATTTCATTCTTTATAGTGTGGGATAATGGTGACCCTGTTGCTCATGCTAAATATTATTTGGGAAATCTTTGAGATTAGGGATAAAGTATTTAGATGATTTCTACTGGCTAAGTTCGTTTCTATTCTTTTTTGGACGATAATGATAGAGATTGCATAATGATAGTGCAATGTTCCCGACATATGGGGTCTGGTCTTCAACCACGTTGCTTGGCGGTCCCGCGGCGGTTGTGGGGTTCGGTGCCATTTTTGGACCCTAATTAGACAAAGATGAATTGGACGAATCAAGCAGTGCTATAAATATTTTTTTAGAGAAAACTGAAAAGCCTTTTTCCCATGATGCTGTGAATGTAAATTGTGGATGCCTTTTGTTTTATATTTTACCCTTTTGGCTAAACATTGAGGATTTACCTAATTGGTGAGATATTTGTAGGTTTGTTTATGGCTCTTCAACCCAAACTAATTGCCTGTGGGAAATCCATTGCTACATTGCCATGGGTGTTCGATTCCTTACAGGTCCCGTTGTCATGGCCGCAGCTTCCATAGCTTGGGTAATACTTGGCAATGCAATGGCTGTAATAAAGAATGAAATTTATCTAGGTAGCTTCCTCCTTATCGGGTAAATAATTCAAACATTTTTTCAGATTTAAGAAATATACTCGGGTATCCCCTCCCTACCCGGATAAGTAAAAAATTTCAAAATATACCCGGGTAGGCTTCATGGTCAACGGTCAAATAGAGACAGATTAGTGTTATGTTTTTTGGAGAGGTTAATTTTTTGAAATAGTTTATAAATAGGGTCAATTTGATAATTAATTATTAAAAAAAGGCTATAGTGGTCAAAAAGCCCATCAAACCCACTTTTTATTTATGATAATTAATAACGTTCAATATTTTGTACTAGTATTGATTTTAATTAAAGAATTTTTAGATTGTTATATTTTTAAATGCTTGATGTTATGCGCTTGTTTAATATTAATTATTAAGCTTTCATTTGGAATAGAACACCCGCATAGTACAAAATAGCCACAATTCAATGTTGTCAACGAGGATTTTCGCAAAAAATAAATAGAGGATAAATTACTTTACTTTACTTTATTCTTTTGGTTGTATACGGGCGCGGATGATGGTTTAGGTGATTGGTAATAAGTTAATAAAAACGACCAATCAAAGTGGGGCCTTTTTCTTGTGAGAATATATACTCCTATTAATTATTCCGTTTATGTTTGTTAGTTGATACAATCTTTAGAACACTGAAATATAATCCAAATAAATATAATAGTATTATCATATACGCTCCGTTACAATACATGATTCCAGGCGACGTCACTAGGATTTGCATACATCCAAAGTAATAATATAACATAGTTATATTAAAAAATGAGTGAATAAAATTAAAAAAAAAATCGGATAGAAATATGTTAAACCAATTATTATGAGGCACTTAGCTTGGTTCGGGGTGTTAGTTGTGGTCAAAATAAATCGTACTTAAGACAAATACAGTGGTGGTTATTGACCGAAACAAAACAGTGGTTCAAATGTAGTGATGGTTATCCACTTATCCTGACATTTTTAATTGTACGTAGATAAATTATTTTTATTTATTTTTAAAATAATATTATTTTAAATTAAAAAATTATTATAATTCTGAAATAAATTATAATTATAAAAGTACCTTGATTTTTGTCTTAAAATGACATTATCTTAGACTCAATATAAATAAATTATCTAACCGCAGAAAAAATTAACCCTTTGTTTTATTACTTTTAAGAAGACTTCGTAAATAAAAGGTATGCCTCACTTTTTGAAAAAAATAAAATAAGTGTTAGGATGTGTTAAAGTAATCTATAGAGTAAAATATATTAGTATAATTTAACATATATATATATATATATATAAGCGCCAAAATCACGAAAAGTTTATGCATTTACTTTCTAATAGATAGACTTGATATTATTTAACACTCAAATTAACCTAAATATATATTAATAAAAAAAATAAGGATGTGTGTAAAGGATATGTCCTATGTACGCAAAGCATTGGAATAGATCATATTAGCATTACATATTATTGAGAAGAATAAGTAAAAATAAATCAATATCCTATCTATTGTAGCTTTTAAAAATTAAATAGTAACAAGTGTTGCTTCAATCTTTGAAAAAGTAACTCGTACGTTTGGTTAAAGAAAATTTTTTATGAATCATAGAAAAATGTGATTAGTAGAAAAATGGTTGGAGATGAGTTTGATAGAAAAATGTAAAAATAGTTATTTAGTTGGGAAAAATTTTACCGGGAAAATTAAGTAACTTTTGTAAAGTCTATGTTTGGCTTTTAATTAAATATAGATGGGAAAAAATGTGCTTTTACCAAAATAACTTGCTTTTTCAAAAGGCAAAAAATAAGGCATCCTTTCATGTTATATCCAAGTGAGGCGTCACAACAGCATATCTGATTTGGAAGGCAATCTCTTCAAGAAATTAACTGGTACCGATGGCATCTTGCTTCTGAAGCGAGGATGACGCAGCAGGTATAGTCTTACTAGAATTGCAACTACTTGGCTTGAGCCCTTTCTCCTTGAGTAGCCAAATCTCCAACCACAGTATGTACTCTACCTGCCACACTCTGCAATCTGTCATACCTCATTCTTACAATATCTGAAGGTCTTGTAGTTGGAAATGTGTCAAATTCCTTGTCCAATTCATCTGGGTGGGCATATTCTGCTTGTGAAAGTCTAGCATCCATGTAGGGTGGATGCATTGGCCTGAACCGGTAATTCCAAATCCCAATTACAAACAAGTAAAGAAAAATGGTTGACAATATTAATTTTGTATAGCAAACCAGTATCAAGAACAAGACGTGAACAAGGCAGGGAGTGAGGGTAGCGTCGTCTTTTGTTTAGAATCCACTTTGAGCAATGAGGCATCTTTTCATCAATACCACACTGTCCATGGGATACATTTCGCCGGCTAAATGGACAGAAAACATGGTTATCTTGGTTACGTAGGAAACTCACTTAGGTGGGTAAGTGTGAAAAAACCTTGAAGCAAACATGATTAACTGATATGTCCATTTATCATTTCCATATCAATCTCTTACAAATCCCTTAACCAAACGCCCCCTAAGAAATTTTTACACTAGTAAAAAAAGTCTAGAGATAAAAGTTTGAGCCTAAACACATCATTCATAAGAACAAAAGTAAAGTATGTTTCAGGAATGAGTTGTGTTTGGATTTCCTTATAAAAAAAGTTACTTTTATATTTTGTTTATTTTAAAAGTGCATTTTATAAAAGTTAAAATTATTTAGATTTTTAAAAAATATTTTTTTTTGAAAAAAAATAATTTTTGACTTTTGCTTTTTTGATAAGCAAAAAATTTTAACTTCTGAAAAAAAAATTAATTTTTTTGTGATTTCTGCTTTATTTAAAAATAAGCATCCAAATGCACTTTATAATAAAAAAAAAATTTGAAAAAAAATAACTTTAGACCGAAAAAAAACTCATCTAAATAGGCCCTAATCTCGTAACAAAAGTAAAGATGTATAAAGAATTTTTTTTATTTGAAAACTTTAGGTGGTGTTTGATTGAAAATTTCTTAAAATTTACCTATACAAATCAAATTGGCAAAGTAAGAAAGCAATGTTTGGTAGAAGGTTTTACAAAATTTTCCTAGGTATTGTATTTGCATAGCATTCCATATTTGTTCATAGAAAAAAAGACAAATTTACTATTTAGAAAGACAACTTGAAGGTGATATTTTACATTTAGCTAGCTAAATGGCAAAAGAGCAACCCACTAGTAGACTTAAATATCCTCATCTAAAGTGCTAATGTTTCACTTTTTTATGGGGTTATATTTGTAATTTGAAGTTATTTTTCCATCTATATTTTACCTCAAACCAAACATAGACTTTATAAATCTTACCTAATTTGTCCGGTAAATTTTTTTCTAACCAAACAACTTTTTTTACATTTTCCTACCAAACTCACTTTCTAACCATTTCCTTATCAATTACCTTTTTTTAGTATTAAAAAAAAAAATCTCAGCCCTTAGTATCTAGAATCAAAAGAATTAATACTTGTGCTATAAATGTTCCCTCCCGTGACTATCAACTAACTTGAATACTTGTGCTATAAAAAATTCTTCTATTCGCCAAACTTGAACCTGAGACCTTGCATAAGTAATTAATTAATATTCCCTCCCGTGACTATCATTCATTGTTCGCTGCAAACATATGATAAAGTGTAATATGAATAGCCATTAATACTTGTGCTATAAATGTTACAGCTATTTGTTAAAAACAAACAAATTTTGAATTTAATATAAAAAAAGAAAACAAAGCAATTTACATTGGGTGTCAGCTCACTGGTCTATCGAAAAAGAAAAGAAAAACTAATTTGATTGAAGTTAGCTTCCATTAGACATCAAGATTAGAATTATAATTCAGAATTTTAATGTATATCTGGTTCAACTTATTTTTATGAATAATTATCTTCTCAACTTTTTAAGAGAGTTTTTATATAATTAATTTAAGCTGAACCAAATATAGGCTTAATTTCAATTCTATTCTGTCATAATTAAAATTGGTTCAGAATCATATATTTCATGTATGAGTTATGCAAAAAATCAAGGTGCAAAATTAGTATTCTAAATTCAAATCCATTTTTATTTTTCATATGTAAGATTTAGAATTTTAAAAAACAAAATTAATCAAACTATTTTAAAAAAAAAATTGTTTAAAATGAGTTTGCATTTAAAGGAACAAATAAGAGTGTATTAATTCTTAATTTAATCTAAAATACATTATAATCTCAACTCATTCAATAACTTTTTTTAAGTAAATAAGGATGGGAAACAAAACAAGTTAGAAACTCAAGTTCTAGCTCCCCCGAGTCCCTGACATTATCTAAAGTGAAAAAAATTAAGATCCCCTGTGGCATATTATGGAACATACAAGCTCCTGATTTAACACATTTTTAGCAAAGCAATTTGCACACAAGTTGCCTTCATGGTGTATCAATTATAGTACTACGGTCTCTTCAGATACATATATTTGTTTCGGAGTGGTGGGGTTGCGGACAAACGCATTCACTTCACTTCACTTCACACTTGGGGTTCTAAAAGACTCAAATTCAGGTTGAGACCCTGTTGGTTACGTTGTTCATTGATGGAGCGGACAACTGCTTCAGTTAATGGTACGGTGAACTCAGGATCTTTGATTATAGAACTTAATATTCTTCATTTTTGCTGTTGATGTCGTGGTCGCTCCGTTGCTTAAGATCTTCACATAGTCTTGTATCTGTTTGAGCCCAACCACAAAGAGCAAGGTCAATGTTCATCTTATCTTTGTGGTTAGGTAGGATTGACATAGGTAAATCATTCGCCATCATTGAACATTTGTGTGAGGACGATGATGATGGCCTGAGTAAGTCATGAAGAACAGCATGGTTGTGCCCTCCTTCATAAGTTGCCACAAGTATAGACCTATCATGTATGCTTCTTTGCACCTACAATGTGTAATTGCAAAAAGGTTTGAAATTTCTTAGACCGCTATTTTGGCTCAAGTCACAAATATATGCTACTCATGAAAAAACATACTCATGAAAAAACCTAATTAGTTATCGTCATCCAAAAAAACATACTGAAATAAAAATGAGTTTGGTAATCAATCAAATATATTCTTAATTACACTTAAGACTTGCATCAATTCCTTACTTGGGTAACCATGTTGACATCAACATCAATATCACATTTATTCCAAATTAGTTGGAGTCGGTGACAAACTTCCCTAGCCATATATATGAAATTTTTCTGAATTAATAAGAACTATGTTTGATAATCAACCAAATAAATATACCTTTTTTTTGACTGGGCAGCTGGGAGCCATGGAGCATTTGAAGTAAGCTCTAGGCGAAGAATTGTCTTTGGTGACCTTCTGTCCATACTTCCTCCACTGATAGCCATCAATTACCATCTATAATCTCAAAAGGGAAATTTGTATAAATGTATGAAGTTCATTATAGAATTTGAACATTAACTAAGTGAATAAATACACCAAGTTTCACAATGTTTAATGCGGAACGTGCATACCAAACTATTGTCCTTGGGGTGGGTTCTGACAAATATTTGTGATGGCTTTTGTGCTTTGGGAAACTCGGGTCGTTCCCACTGATTTGAGTTTATGCTCCCCTGCTCTGCATTATTGATTTCTTGAAAATGGGACTGAAGCATTTCGTATTTGCTGCTCAGAATTTCCAGCATGAGTCTTAGAGTATGATTCTCCTCCTTCGCATGTTGCAGCTCCGCTTGAAGAGTTTCCACCTAAACAAATTAAGATTGTTGTAAACTTTTAGAAGGAGAGCATATTTTCATCCTTAAAGATGGTCATGAGGAACAGAGTTAGTTTACCTTTTCATCCATTGTGGCAGCTTGGTTTAAGTCGAATGAACTTCAATATATCATCACAACTAGAATAATCTATCTACTTAGTGTTACTTACTTGTAAAGATAACGAGAGGGTGGAGACCTTATATACATTATTAGAATGGAATAAAATGGGGTTATTGGGTCTAACTTCTTAGTTCTGAGTAATACATCGTTCAATTCAACTCCACATGTTCAACAAAATCCCATTGATGTGATATGCAATTAGAATTACTGCTTTGAACAATATCCTTTTTGTTTTGGTAAACGCTTTGAACAATATCCTATTTTAGAAAAGATTGCACCATGATGTCATCCCCAATGACACACCACAATGACATAGGCAAACACTTTCTTATTGGTACCAAAGTGGTTAATTCTGGCTTTTTTTTCTTTTTCTTTTTCTTTTTTATATAAATGGGAATTTGATACGATCCTAGTCAGCAAAAAGGTGTATAAAATAAGGAGAAGCCGGGAAATATTATCAATTGAGAGAGGGTATTTTGTGTGGCTGATGTGGATAACAGAACTGGAGAGGCTGTTGAGGAAAGTCTAGTTGTTTAAACAAGGGAAGATGCATTGGTGTAGGGGGATGAATATTGCTGGAACTTTTGGGCACCTCTTGGGTGATTGGGAGAGACTAGAGGCTCTAGAATTCCTCTAGGATTTTAGCTTCACTATTTCCTTTTCAATTATAGCATTTCCAGTTCATTGTATTTTCCTTTTCTTGTTAAATTGTCTCTGAGTTGTTACTATTTTCATATTGTAATACAGATACAAATACACATCTATATACAAATCTGTGTTCTTTTTCCATAATTCATTGTGTGTTAGATTTATTTTTTGGTAGGTTTGTATCAATTGGTATCAGAGCTCTCTGATCTGGGGACCTTTGAAAAAAAAAAGGAAAAGCAATTTCGCCAAATAAGAATTCCTACATTTTCTGGTGAGGAAGATGCGTGGGGATGGTCAATCCAAGTTGAGCAGTATTTTAAGGCGTATGGAATTTTAGACAATGAAAAGCAAAAGGAAGCTGTGAAGCGATTCACCGGTAATGCTCGCATCTAGTATCGATTCTGGATCTGGCATAACCCAAAAGCTAGCTGGTGGAAATTTTTAAAAGCTTTCTTCAAGGAATTTCAACCGGAGGTTTGCTTGGAAGATGACGAAGTTGAAACAGAGCATGAAGTTTTCAACTCTGAACTAAAGTCAGAGGCAAAGATGACACCATTGAAAGAGAAGGAAGGAGAGGAGAAAATCAACAAAATATTTAAGGGAGAAGGTTCACCAACACCATCGCTAAAACAGCCGCTCACAGCGGTAGAGCCATCGACGACGGAGTGTGAGAAAAAAAATTCAGTCCAGTTTCAACTAGTAAAGGGAGCTACGCAAGTGATGGCGCTGCCACTTCCAAAGGTGATAGTCATTGACCCACCCTCGTTGCTGGAACCACCGGATTTGGACCTCGGAAGCGGTGGATGGCGACTAAGTGCAGGAACAATGATGGTTGGGGAGGAAGGTGAAAGGAAAGAACAGGACGCATCGAAAAAGATAAACACAGTTACGTCAATGAAAGACTTAGGAGATATGGGCCGGACTGCAAGCATAATGTAGCGGGCCCAAAATACTCTCAAAATATTTCTGGACCAAAACATGTACATAAGTCTTTTTTATGTTAACGATGATATTGGGTCGGGCTTACTCAAACCCCAAAACATTAGTTTAGACCCATCAAACCTGAGAGTTGCTAGCGATACCTAGAAGTTGACGGAACTCTCATCAAGAATGCAAGTGCTAATGTTGACGCTTCAGAGATTGACGTCGCTTTTGCTACAAAGGATACTATTTTTGTTTTCAATTGTAAGGTGGTTTCGGGCAGGATAAACACTGAAGTAGTTGCAACTTACCTTGGGAAGCTTCGATTTGATCATTATAGGTCCATTAAATTACAAGGAGATGTGACCCACGAAGAATTGGAGGCTGGTTCTTCAAGTGGAGATAAAACTATGGTTAAAATTGTGGAATTTTTTAGGGATTATGCTTTTGACATCTTGAAACAATGTCAAAACAGATTTTGCATAATTCATGATGAAAAACAGAATATTTTGAATGTTGGATTTTCTGGATTTTTAGGAAGGGGTGAAGAACAAGAATGAGCATTGTCAGATTATGTGAAACATGGGCTGGTTTTGTTTGAAGCAAGGCAATTTTCCATTGTCATTAATGCTTTTCATCAACTTGATGAGGGTGTTGTGTCTCCTAATGAAAATATGATATTCGAAGCTCGTGTTTCTTGCTTTGTGAAAAAAAGGCAGAGATACTTAGTTACAAATTTGCAAATAAGGTTCCAAGTGCAAAAGTGGAGTAGGATCCTGGTGGGTGCTCTTATATTTTAGAAATCCATGGGCATATACTTTTCACACAGTGGGATCTCGGAGGCAGTTATCATTCTTCGAGCATAATTGGCTCCCTTCAATTCAAGCAATGAGACCCCGATAAATGATCATCACCTTGAGGACAAGGTGATTGTTAGGGGGGAGTATTAATACGATCCTAGTCAGCAAAAAGGTGTATAAAATAAGGAGAAGGAGGGGAATATTATCAATTGAGAGAGCGTATTTTGTGTGGCTGATGTGGATAACAGAATTGGAGAGGCTGTTGAGGAAAGTCTGGTTGTTTAAATAGGGGAAGATGCATTGGTGTAGGGGGATGGATATTGTTGGGACTTTTGGGCACCTCTTGGGTGATTGGGAGAGACTAGAGGCTCTAGAATTCCTCTAGGATTTTAGCTTCACTATTTCCTTTTCTATTATAGCATTTCCAGTTTATTGTATTTTTCTTTTCTTGTTAAATTGTCTCAAAGTTGTTACTATTTTCATATTGTAATACAGATACAAATATATACACATCTATATACACATCTGTGTTCTTTTTCCATAATTCATTGTGTGTTAGATTTATTTTCTGGTAGGTTTGTATCAGAATTAAACACATAACTTACTACAACCTGCCCAAATCTCTTACCACTAAACGAGTTATAGTTACGCTAATTTCTCACTATTTCATCATAATGTTTCCCAACGTGGCCCTGGGTGCAAAGATAAGAAAGAAAATTTTAGATAACCATTTTTTCCCCATAACCATTCAAACGATCGCACGTGATAATTCAGACAACCATAAACATTTTTATAGTTGACTTTAATGCTATAATAGATAAAATTTACTTAATTAAAAGTTTCTCAAGATAAATCAGGATTTTTGAACTCTAAAAAGTCTTTTTAGACATCAATAATTTTACATAGAGCTGTCAAAATGAGTCAGTTCATTCCTCTGGGACCTAGCTCGTGCGGGTTAGAGTCAAAATGTCCTCAGGGCCAAATAATTCTCAATAATAAAAGTCTGCACGGATCAAAAACCTTATGGATTAGAGCTAGCCCGCAGGCTATCTAAAATTATAATTTCATAAAATTTTAATTTTTTATTATATTCAATACATTAAAGATTATTTTAACAAATAAATATTTAAACTTTTTAAAAATATTTTATACAAATTATAAATTTTTATAATTTAATTTTTTAATAAAATAATATTTGTACACAAATATACAAGTAAAAATATAAACAAAATTTTAATATAAGTAAAAATTCAGTTACTACATTTACTAAATTCGTTATTAAAGGATGTTATCAAATAAAGATTTTTCTCACCAGGAGTCATAACAAAATAAAGCAACTCTAGTGGAAAATCAAAAGTAGCGATGAAAAAATGATCTTATATGATTAATTGCTCTTAGTATCAATGTTATTAGAATCGGACCGGTCACTGACCCGGTCGAGGTACCGGGTCACTGGGTCAATGGTTCAACCGGTGGGTCACTGGTTGAACCGCATGAATCGGATATATATATAAATTTATATTTTATACTTAATTATATAATAAATATTTTAAATGGTGCCATCTAAACAACAACCTGATGTAGTTTAGTGGTATTTGCTATGTTGTATATCCTTAATGCAAGGGGTTCGAACCCCATTAAATGCAATTTTTGAAATAATTCCCTTAACTTAATAGTTATATAATAAATATATTAAATGGTGTAATTTATTCAACCAATGATTGTGGCCTAGTGGTATGAATCCAATGTGCTAGTTTCAAATCCCACTCGCTGCAAAAAAAATATTTTGTAACTAATTTTGAAAAATCGATTTGAAGAGAAAACCAATCGGTTGAACCGCGATTTATAACCGAGTAACTAGGTCAATACCGGGTCGATTACTTAAGCGGTCCAATGTTATAACCGGACCGGTTGATGGCCAGTTTCCGGGCCAACCAGTCGGACCGGCCGGGCTGGTCCAATTTTAATAACACTGCTTAGTATCCTATATAAAAGTTAAACCATTGATTTAATTTCTTCAACTATTACCGTTACAGAAATATTTTTACTTATTATTATTATCCACAAAATTGTCAAGGTGCATTGAATACAATATGTTTCAATGGAAATTTAGATATACAACATACTTAAACTTCAATAGAAAATTTTATTCTTACTAATGCGAAGATGAAATTCTCTGTTGAAACATGTCACTGCTTAAAAAATTATCTTTATTTATATTATGTTTATAATTTATTTTGTTTATATAAATATTTAATTTTGTATAATTTTAAATAATAAAAATTTTGATGAAGAAAAATTTTTGACGTACGAGCCAACCTTAACCAACCCGCTAAATTATAAAGCTTTGAGGATTAGGGTCAAAAGAGACCCTAATGGGTTATGGTTGAATATAAGGCTTTGCAAGGTGGAATTTCGGTCCCTTTTGACACCTCTACAACTTTGAGGGATTGTGTACATTAATTTTTTTAATTACTATTAATGTATTATCAAATTATTAAAAAATATTTAATTACAATAATTATTATTCAAGAATTGATAAACTTTAAATTTATTGACATAATAATACATAATTGCATAATAGTTTTTAAAAAAATTACAGCAACAAAAAATTAAAGTTCATAAAATGTAGAATACAAATGATTCTACCATGCGTTTTGGG